TTGTTCATACCAATTTACTAGTCATAGTGTGTGTTTTCTAAGATACATGTTTTTGGTTTTGCTTTTGGTCTGTAATCTTATTCCAGATATGAGTGGTAAATTCTCTCTTGATTTTTTTGTTAATGTGTTAATCTTATTTGGTTTGTGGAACTTAATGTATTGGTCCTTGTATTTTTTGCTTGCCAGGTTGATTATCATAGTCATGCATTTTCTTGTGTTTCATGAGCTTGGTGGAAAGATTTTCATATACAGTGGCTACTAGCCACAATTTGACTTGATTTTGGTATTTGGGTTCTTCGAATTATATACATAATGTTCCTAGGGCCATTCGGAGCCAAATTATGCAGATTGATAAATAGTATGATTCGTTGAAAAAATTTGTAAGGAACATATTGTTTTTGAATATATTGTTCTTTTACCCTTATTACAGAGGAGATGTCATAAAAGTACTCAATCATGCAAAACTGCCATATTTGTTCAGTTTGAAACTGCTATGTGTGTAACATGTGTGTAATTAATCACAAATCCTATGTTTGAAACTGAAGAAAATGACTGACATTGAACTGCCATGTTTGTTCAAATGCTATTAACAGTTTAGTCTGTGTAACCTCTGTTCAAATGCTATTAAACATGGCAATTTTAACAAATAGATGTTTTCAGTGAAGACATACACTATGTCCCTCAAATTCAAATAGCCTTCACACTCTATCCCTCTCCTCTATAGAACTGCCATTACTTTTGTTATGGGCATAACTCTATAGAATTGCTATTAACCCCATCAAACACAAGCATAGCACAACACTACAAATTTCTCATGTATGCAGATTTAAAATATGACTTCTTCTTCTGACAATAGCAACATAAGATTACAACCGAAGTTGTGCAATTATGGAAGAATCGCTGCCATATATATTGTAAGAACTAATGAGAATGGAAATCAAGGGGGTTTGTTCTTTATTTGCCCATCAAAATATGTAGGTATATATTGGAAAATTTAATCCTTTAGTAGTCACATTAATAGTTATCTTATTCAACTAACTGATTGCCATGCATTGTAGAGTTACCCTCACACTCCCCATTGCAATTACTTTAAGTTTGTGGATGAAGATGACGAAGACGTTACGTCCAAAATCCGTTCCAACACTAGAGCTTGTGATGCTATAGCAGTAGAAAACTTTAACGATATAAAGACGAGGTTTGATAACATGGAAAATGACTATGGTCGAAGGCATGAAAGGATATAAAATAATATCAAAGCAATGGTATATTTTATTGTATTTTCTATCATTTTGTACTTTATGATGTAACTTTTATACTTTATTGTATTTTGTGGAATTGAATGGAAATTTCTACCATTTTGTGTTGTTTTGTACTTCATGATGTAACTTATGTTTATGGAATGAATTTTATTATGATGTAACTTGTGTAGCTTACTTTATTATGGAATGAATTTTGGGAAACATTGATCTCATTGCTAAAGCTTTGTGGATGCTATTTGGCAGATCTGTGAATGAATTTTGTGGATGCTATGTGGATGAATTTTTGTGAATGCTATGTGGATGAATTTTGTGGATGCTATTTGGCAGATCTATGGCCTCAACCTGTTATATGGTAGCAAGTTCTTTTATTGCCCTCACTTATCAGACATAGACTATTATCTGTTAGCAAGTTTAAAGTAGATTTGGCAGATCTGTAGATGTTGTTTGTTGCAGGTTTGGTTCTATGGATGCTATTTGGCAAATCTATGGATGTTATTTGGCATCTAAACAAAATTGAATAGCACCTAAGCATCTAAACAAAATTGTATCAACTGAAATTAAAAAAAAGAAAAGAAAAAGCTGATCATATTAGTAATTGAACAGCATGACAGAAAGGCACCAATTGTGAAAATTCAATAAGGTGATCATCTTATGTAATTAAACTAATCCAAGTTGGTGCCTTTCACAAGTTGCTGAAATTCACTAATCCACTTGTGTAATTGAACAGCATGATACTTGTAGGTCTTGAAAAATTAAGACACCAATTTGGGATAAATTTTCTAACAAATGAAAAAGTTGTGTACCTGTTCTTTCACACAAAAGAAAATCTAAAAATTTTAACACACACATTGGTCTATTTAAAAATCAGTCAAAAGAAAATGAAGTATAACATCAAGTGTAAATTAACATCGAGTGAAGTTTGCTCACATTGGTCTATCTAAATTAACACATTGGTCCATCTAAATTAACACATTGGTCCATTTGAAGCAATTTGCTTTGAACACACATACAAGCCATTAACATTTGAACACACATTGCTTTACAGTTTGCTTTCCAGCAGTTTCCTTCATAGCAGCAACATCACTTTCCAGCAGCAGTTTGCTTCACAATTTGAGCTGCTATGACTTTACTTTCCAGCCGAATTTCAGCATCAGTTTGCTTCTCTTTCTGCTTGTCCATAGCCTAAAACGGAAAAAGACAGAATTTTCCACAATTTTCAGTAACTAAATACATACTTTAAACATAATTTTCAACAAGTAAATACATGTTCAAATAGAATTTTCAGCCACTAAAAAGCCAAAATTTTCAGCAACTAAAAATTAAAAAGACAACAAGGACAAACCTGACTACACATTGGGCTGTTTGATTCTTAAGAATATCGAAACGTAATGTCATATTCACATGAACCTTGAAGTAGTGATTGGAATGTTGGTTGAGCAGAATACCGTTGAGGCATTGAATTTGACAAAGAATTTGGCACTACATACATCTCCGGCAACTTGTTCGCTTACAACAATATCATGTATTAGGCTTTGCAATCATAGTTTGAGTCACATATTATATCCACACAAAAAATACAATGTTAAACTAACACTTAAATGATACGTAGGATACATCAATGGCAGAGGAATAGAATTACCACCCATGGCCAAAGATGGAGGAAGAGGATGAAGGGAAGGAAGAGGTTGAAGGGGAAGAACATGTTGACGAACATAGATATCTCCTCCAATAGATAATGGAGAAGGTGTAACTGTTGGACTTGCAATAGATTTGGACGAAGCCAAGCTGTTAGCACGGGATTTTTTTTTAAAGTTCACTACTAACGCTGCTTCAAATCCACCTTTTACCCTCCTTTTGCCCTTACTAGTTGCCACTTTTTTCTTTAATCCTTTTGGTTGCACAACATGATTCACATTTTCGTAATCCACTTCAAAGCTTTGGGTGTCATCATCATTACTTACTTCATTTCCAACATCAAAATTAGCACTTAACTTGCATTCAACATTTGCACCTAATGTAACAAGGTGTGCAATACAAAAATCATAAGTTTCATCAGTTTCAGCAGCTCTACTTGCTAGTGCTCTAAATGCGGTCATCAATGTCTTATACTGTGAGGCTTGTTGGAATTTCACATCTACTTGAATGTCATTCCCCTCAATATCCTTCACAGTTTCGGCTCTTGTTTGTTTGGTCCACCTCTTTAGAATGTATTGTGGAGGAACCTCTTTTATTTTCAACATGTCTCTAATAACCTTCAATGAGTGACAACACAAGATTCCTTCTCTTTCAAACTTTGTACAATTATAACCCAAAGGGTCATCCCTCTCCATCTTCACTTCCTTGCATGTTTGTTACCAACATCAATAACTGTGTAAATGGTACTAGCCTCGCCATATTCAATTGCTTAGGTTTGGCAAACCTATTGTAGCTCAACGGATACGAAATAACATAAAAATACAAATTGTGAACTTTAAGAGCCTGATCAACAATTATAACAAGTGAATTTTTTTATCTGTCTATAGGTTCACATGAAGCAATGGTGCATCTAACTGCCCTAAACAACACTGTCAATTTACATTGTTAATTGACTATGTCTATATTGTATTTTGGGAAATTGAATGTATTTCATTGACACAATATTTTTAACACTGAAATACCATTGAAATACACCGTGTTGAATGTATACCATTGAATGTATTTCAGTGGTACACATATTTTTAATATTTAAATACCACTGAAATACATAGTGTTGAATGTATACCATTGAATGTATTTCAGTGGTACACATATTGTTAACACTGAAATACCATTGAAATACACAGTGTTGAATGCATACCATTGAATGTATTTCATTAGATGTATTTTTAACATTGAATGTATTTCAGTGGTACACATTCAACACTGTCAATAAAATACACATTATTTTTAACACTGAAATACCATTGACAATGTAAATTGAATGCATTTCATTATTATTACAAACACAATGCATTTAACTGCCGACGCAATGGATGATGGCAAATAAATGGATTCGGTTGGGGAAGAGAAGGCAAAGCAATTACAGGGACAGAGACAATGAAAACTAACCTCTGGTTTGTGAAGTGAGGGCTTTGGGGTGTGGGTCGCTGTAGTGAGGGTCTGCCGGTGAGATAGAGGAGAAGAGCATGACGGCTCTGGTTTGCCAAGTAGACAGAATTTGTAACAGCGTCGAAAGTGTTTCACCGTCGTTAGATCTGCAATGGTGTCGAGATTGGGTCGTCGCCGGTATTGGGTCGTCGGTGAGGATGGGTTCGACGGAGAAGAAGGAATGAGTGTGTTTTTGTGAGTGTGATTCTAAACCAAAATTTGTACAAGCTGTGTTTTGTTTTGGACGAGAAAATGAAAATGAAAATTCATTTTTTATTTCTATTTTTATGATTATTAAATGTGTGACGACTGATCTGAGTTATTATAAAGAAGGGATCAAGGAGCACATGTAAGTAGGGGATCCAGACTCATAGTTGCCTACCTCCTCCAGTTTACTAGTTGAGGTGACTATTCCCACCCACCAAGGATTCTCTATAATTTTTTTTTGTTAAAGTTTTTTAAAGTGATATGTTGTATGGATGAAATTTAATACTAAAAAATTAATATGACTTATTATTAAATCTCAACTATATAATACACCACCGTAAAAAATTTAAAAAAACAAAAAAACTCTAAAGTATCTTTGCTCACTGCCACCTGTTTTATGACCAACCCTAGAACCTCACACACTCGTACTCATTTACGTACATATATATGTTCTGTATCTATCTATCTATCTATCTATCTATCTATCTATATATTCATCGTCGATTTCATTCAATCGCTCGCCGGAAAATCGCCGATCAACTCCACCATCGACTCGGTACGAACCCTAATCCGAAACACTTCCATTTTCAATCGTTTTTCCAATCCAATCGAGATGGTATAACAAACCAGTCACTGATGTGTATTTCTCATCGAAACCAACGAGCTCTGATTGGAAATAATGCAATTGTTGAGCTCGAACTACTCGAGAAGCAAAATTTTCACTTTTTTCGATTCCATTCTCTACATTGCTCGAAGGGATTCCAATATTTTCTCTGGCGTTGCTTGTTTCAGTTGTTTCCCCAATCCTCATCACTCTGAGGTTTGGTTTGTTAAGGTTGTTTGCACTCTCTGTGTACGATCCTCAGCTACGTCTCTTGATATTCTGGGTTCTGATTATTTCTGCAAGAACTTGAATCCATTGATAGCATTTGGAGTTATCAAACGTTTAAGTAATAACAACTACGATAATCCCAAGTTAGCTTTTGACTTCTTCGACTTTACTAGGCTCAATTTGAGTTTCATTCATTCGATTGCGACTTATAATTTGCTTTTAAGGTCTCTTTGTCAAATGGGTCTTCATGACTTGGCTAAATTGGTATTTGAGTACATGAGGATTGATGGGCATTTATCTGATAGTTCAATTTTAGGATTCTTGGTTTCGTCATTTGCACATGTGGGTAAGTTTGATGTGGCCAAAGGTTTGCTTACTAATGTTCAATCTGACAGTGTAGAGATTACTTCTTTTGTGTGTAATAACTTGTTTAGTCTTTTGGTGAATCGAAATCGGGTAGATGAGGCTGTTTCCTTCTTCAGAGAGCATATTTTGAGGTCGCAATGCTATTGTCCTGACACTTGCACATTCAATATTGTAATTCGAGGTTTGTGTAGAGCGCGTGAAGTTGAGAAAGCTGTTGAGTTTTTCAACAACATGAGGAGTTTTGGTTGTTCGCCTGATATTATAACGTACAATACACTTATAAATGCAGTATCTAGGGTTGGCGAGGCAGATAGAGGTTGTGAGTTATTGAGAGAAATTCAGTCTGGAAATGATTTTTCTCCAGATGTTGTAAGTTATACATCAGTGATATGTGGTTATTGCAAGATGGGTAATATGGAGGTGGCTTCAAATATTTTTCATGAGATGATTAGTTCTGGAGTTAAACCAAGTCTGGTTACTTTCAATGTTCTCATTGATGGTTTTGGCAAAAATGGTGACATGTCATCTGCACTGAATATTTATGAGACGATGCTTTTTCTTGGTTGCCTTCCTGATGTTGTCACCTTCACGTCTCTAATAGATGGTTATTGTCGGACTGGACAGGTGGACCAGGGATTGAGGCTTTGGGATGAAATATATGCAAGAAACTTGTCTCCTAATGTGTATACTTTTGCAATTCTTATCAATGCTTTGTGCAAGGACAATAGACTAAGTGTGGCTCGAGATTTATTGAAACAGTTGAGACGGAGGAGGGATATTGTCCCCCAAACATTTATTTACAACCCTGTGATTGATGGGTTTTGTAAGGCTGGTAATGTGGATGAAGCAAATGTGATTGTTGCAGAAATGGAGGAGAAGAGATGCAAGCCTGATAAACTGACCTTCACCATTCTCATTATTGGGCATTGTATGAAGGGAAGAATGCCTGAAGCAATAAGCATGTTTAATAAGATGTTAGCAATTGGTTGTGCTCCGGATAGAATTACGATAAATTCTTTGATATCTTGCCTTTTGAAGGCTGGGATGCCTAACGAAGCGTATAGGATAAAACAAACTGTAGCAGAGGACTTGAACTTGGAAATGACAGCTTCGAGGAGAAATGTGCCTCTCAGGAAAAATATGGACATTCCAGTGGCTGTTTAATTGAAAAGGTTGTTTTGCTAGTGCATATGGTCTTGTGGACCTGGCAATTGCATGACGTCCTTCCACTAGTATGCTTCAAATATGAACGTACACTTCCAACTCACGGCATAGATAAGCTAGCAAGCGGTAAGTGTTTGTACTTGTCTATTTGTTAAGTGTCTATATTATTAATTTATTATGCAATTTTTGCAATTTCTAGAATTAAATGCTGTTTTGGTTGGACATTATACGTATGAAGTTGTTGCTTTTGTTTCTGGAAGTTCATCATGAGTACTTGATGCAAGGCAGGTCAAAAGTATTAGCTTGAATAGGATTATAGGAAAATGAATAAGTAATTGACTGGATAAAAAAAGAAGAACAAAACCAATGGAAAAGGGATATGCATGTCAAAAGTATTAGCTTGAATAGGATTATAGGAAAATGAATAAGTAATTGACTGGATAGCAAAAGAACAAAACCAATGGAAAAGGGATATGTTTAAGAGGAAGGAATGGAAAGAGAGAGGTAGATGATATGGTTAAGTGAAGAGTTTGCCTTAATTTTCCCAGGATTTCCACAAAAAAAGTAACTCCTGATATAAGTTTGTCATAATATTAACGATGTAAACACAAACACCACCCCCCCCTTCCTTGCTGTAAGTGAGCTTTTATGACTAAAAAGAATACACAAAGAAGTACCAAACACGGCCTAGAAGGAAGCACGGACACAGACATGGTGGCAATTGATTATTCCATTCTGAATGATTCAATCACAGAAGCTCATCATTTTGTGAGAATTATACTTGTAAAGTCCAATGTGCGTCAATGTTTGTTAGTATCCTTATGTTCTTAGAAATCTGTCTGCGACTTTATCTTGAATTTGAGTGATTAATGTAACTAATTTTTATGTGATCCTTGTAGCATGATTATTGAGCAACATTTATTCTTTATAGGCAATAATTTTTTCATCGACTGTTAGAAACTTGATGAGATCTATGATTAGACCAATAATAGTGGTATTTTTATCTTTTATTTAGTTTTGATGTAATCTTTTACCTCTTGTAGTTACTTGTCTACCTTTTATTATTTATTCTGCTTCTGTCTCCAAGAAATTTGTTTATAATCTTGGTAACAACACCCTTTTAATAATTTTTTTGATCATACTGAAATAGTTAATGCTTCTCACGATGATTATTCCTTTTATAAGATTGATAGGAATTTGTGGTGTCATTTTCTCCTTGTCCTTTGTAGGTACGTACGTGATGAACGGACTTGGTTAAGCTTTTGCAGCTTACATATGAGGTGAATTTATTTGTCCTCTATGCATGCTTGTTGGAAAGTAGCTGCTGCTGTGTGGTTCTCTCAAAACCATTATTGTTTTATTTTCACATTCGATATTTTTTTTTTTGGTTAGAGCTTTCAGCACAATTTTGACTGTGTCATTTTTTACAGTATATTCATATTCCCAGATGAACTAGGCATCATAATGTAACCCTAAAAGGTTATAAATAAATAAAAGATGTAAAGTTAAAAGGTTCATGCTTCTAGGAATTTGTATTCATCCACACAACTGATTTATGCATTGTCTATTATTGCAATTTCTGTTTTTCGTTGCTTGGGCTATAATTAGGCACAGTGTGACAATACAAATTCTTTTTCAGCTACTCTGTTTTGTGGCTAACACAAAAAAAATGCAAGAAATTCACGAGTGGACTGACTTTTTATTTGGAATAACAGAAGACTACTAGGTTGGTTCCATACAATAGATAAGACTGTTGATTCATGTTTGTTTGGTCTTTATAACTTAATCAGATCATGCTTTGCTGCAATGTTCAAACTACTTCCACAGCAATAGAGTTCATGAAATGGTATCAGAAATTGCGCTATGTCATGCTTGCTTCAACTCTACAAAATCAACTTTTGCTAGAAGTTTATTCCATGGATACAGACGTGTTGAGCTTGCTTACATATATGCTTCTAGCACATATATATTTGTCTGACTGCAAGAATTTTACACTTCACTAATATGATCCTGTAGTTTATTAGTAGTTTATTCTAGCTGTTTTTTATTTGTTAGGTTGATAATGGCTATTTATGTTAATTCTCCAGGTTTATTGGTCAAATTCATAAGGAGTTGGATTATTGGCAGTACTGGTTATAATAAAGTGTTTAATATTAGTTAAATTTGGGCATCTTTTATATTTCAGTTGTATGCTCTGACAATATTTAGTTAATTTCTTCTTTTGGTTGCAACAATTTATTTGCAGAATGCAGATGGGCAAGTTTGGAGGCAGATGAGGATATTGTTGGTAAAGCAGTGATCGGTAAAGCTTTTTTTTTTTTTGGGGGGGGTTCAGGAAATACCATTTGGCTGTGGCATTTTAGATGGACACTCTTGAATTCTCATTGAATTTTTTCTGTTTCTTTTTTTTTTTTTTGCCTAAAGCAAAGCTAGCTAAGGGTATTTTCATCTTATTCATTTAAGGGTATTTTCATCTTATTCATTTATCTGAATTGCAATTGCTTATAGACAGAAAATAAGCACTATTATATATACAGGAATGTCATGTATGTATGTTTGAGAATTAAGAATCACCATTTGCAGGTCAAGCTGGAACTCCCAGAATGGCATTGCTCAACACTTGCTTCAGCTTTACAACACCATCTCCAATATCAACGAACGTGAAAGAAAAAAAAGAAAGTGGAAGCACTATAACAAGGACAGGAGAAAAATAAGTAGAAGACGAGGAAGAAAGCAAAATTGATGAAACTGTCTTCTGTCGTGTGGACGATTTTCTTATGAAGGTAAGAGAAGCTCTCTGCAAAAGAAAAATATAAGGTTGAGGACTATGGTTGATTTATACCGACCAACAAAGCATATAAACTTTGTTTGTAATGGCATTTCCTATTTTGATTTACAAATGGCTAGTCTTGATTCCTAACTGTGTATCTTCATCCCCCGTGAATAGTGCCTTGCTGAAAATATTCATCACCATTTTTGCCCCTTTCATCTAATGTTAGAATGACTGTTTCTTCAGTACAATCTCTCTCTCTCTCTCTCTCTCTCTCTCTCATAGAAGTCTCCAAGTATTTTTGCCTCCGTCACCAGCACAGAAGCTGCAATGCCACAGTAGCTAATCTTGCATACAAAAGAAGCCAAGTGCCATACGAATCATACCAGCCAATGGATAACTATTGCTAGCCAACTCATAAGCAAAATTGTTTTATTTATTATTTTTTTGGCAGGAAAATTTCACAAATGGCAATTTGGTATCATTTCAATGCAACACATTTTCCTGCAAAAAAATAAAAATAAAAATTGGGAGTGTTAACAAGGACAATCACTACCAAATGATAAATTTTTGGATGTTAACAAAGACAATCACTACCAGATGATAAATTTTTGGATGAAAATAGTCACATGCACAACATGTGACTAATTTTAGGGGGCAATGGTCTTCCCTTCATCTTCTTCCATTTCCAATTACTCCTACAACCAACATTATACACCCTGCATCACCGCCTTCATCTTCTTCTTTTTCCACATTAACCTCCACCACCAATGAGCATCTTGTGCCAACACCCGCCACCGCCAACAAACACCCTAGGCCACCTCCCTTCATCATAAATGCACAACCAATATTTGTTGCTACACACCGCCACCAACCATCCCTTCTCCCTCTTCCTCACTCCCCCCTTACGAACCTGTGGGACAAACCTAAATCAGAAACATGAAAAACCCAATTTTTGGGGTTGGCCAGCTTTTTCTGTTTGAACCTTAATGTCAAGCGATGTGTTTTCCAATGTGGAATGAGGAAGTGCCATTGCGCTACAATATCCTCAGCTTGCCTAGCCAACTCAAAAGCAGCATTCTCTCAACACAAACAAGAGCCCCTCAATATAGTCACAACATCAATAAGATATAACAATCATAGAAGAGGCACAGCTGCAGCAACATTGTGATGAGGGATTAAGGCTCAAGTGTCTGACAAATAAAGAACAAGTTAGTTGCACACACAAGCACTCTCTCCTTGGCACCAAAGCTAGTGTGATATGTTTGAATCTTAGATTTGTGAAAGAGAAAAGAAAAAGCAATAACATACAAGCTTTTCCCCTCCACAAATCCAAAAGTTGTCAAACTGTACATGGAAACAAAACAAATATATTCTTGCTTTTACTAACCATGATCTTCACAGGACTCCCATGTATTCCTTGGCTAATGCTAAATCTATTAATACCTAAGTAGGGGTAGAAAGTTGAAACTTGTGCTAGTACTCATAGGACATAATAAAACAAAGATGAGTTTAAAAAGCCAATATTTAGCTTCAGTGGACTAGATTCAAAACACAAAAATCAATGAATTTTATCCCTCTTTCTTTTTTCTTTTTGGGTCGGGCCCTAATTTGATGATCTGAACCATTCATTTTGTAGGACCTTCAATGTATATCATTCATGAAAAAAATAGATCAATCTAATAACCTTTTCATTTTATCGTGTTTGTTTTTGAAAAGTGGACAACAATAATGTTTTTGAAAATAGACCATCCATTTTTCAAAAAAAAAAATACGACAAATGAAAAGGCTATGATTATCGGATTCACCTAATTTTTTTTATAGATGATATACAAGAAGAGCCCTACAAAACAAACAGTCTGGATCATCATAATGGAACCCGTGCTGGCCCCATCAGCCCCTTATGTTCTCTCAATTTCAAATCTAAACTTGAGAAAACCCATATTTTGAGATTCTTTAAAATCTGATTAATGCTCAAGGTGGAACACATATTCCGTAAGGCGCTGCAATTTGCTAGGGTCTAATTTCTGCTCCGTCACAACAGGTAGCTTCTTCACAGTTAGCATTCGAGAAGCCGGGTCCACACTCCAACCTTGTTGCAGCACATCTGCACATGGCACAATTATTAGCATTTGTAGCAAGCAGCTAGAGAAGGCATTGATCACAATTCTACACCCGGTGTCACAAGATGCCTTCTGTTCACACTGCCAACACAAGTTATGATTTTTCTTCTTTTCTTTAAAAAAAAATTGTTTTGTTTTCGTCTTTTGGGTACATGGCAGACAAATTATGATTGCCCAGCAGTTTTTTCTAACAGATGTGCAAAAAAGGCTATAAAACGCCACCTAAGGAGAATGAAAAGTAAGTGGAGGAATTTTTAACTCTAAAACTAAAATGGATCAAATGGCGTAGTATATTAGTTGGGATTTTATCCTTGTACATGAACATTATCTTCAAATTTTTTTTTATCAGTGATGCATCCCATTATCAGAAAACAAGATAACAGCAGAATTATATCTTTGAGCATAATGGGATCTCAACTCTCACACCCATCTATTCAACTACAAAAAAATATCAAATCATCACAAACTCTAAAACTATTTTCAAAATATACAACCAAACAAAATTTTAAATTTTCTAAACTCCCTCCAGAAAATCATTTTTAAAATAATATCTCAAAACACAAACCAAACAATGCCTATATTTCACCATGTACCCATAAAATACAATTCTGATTCAGATAAGTACTGATGTTGCAAGGCAAAACACGAGAATATAGAAACTTACAATTTGTAGCATCATCCTCATTCATTCCCAAGAAGAGAGAAGCATCTTGAATGCTTATTGTTGAATAAGCAGACAGCAGTAGCTGAAACATCTTTTTGGTGTAAACATCTGCAAAAATGTTCAAAAGATAATTTTGACGACAAAAAGTGCCATAAGGTAAAACATCTCTCAATAGAGGAAGATAACAAGAGTCATTGCCTCTTAACTAATTCAGGACCCTATACATAAACAAAAAAAAGAAAGTAACAAACCCCCATCTCCACCTCCAAGGTTTCCCCACACACACAATTACACCATTTAATCGGGGAATTGAAATATATGCTGGAGTAATCTTGAGGCGTTCTTACAATATTAATCATTTCATGGTTGATATCCACTTTGCCCAACCAATGAAAATCTTACTGAGCCCTCTTCATTCTTAACAAGTTAGGAAAAGTAGACAGAAAAAAAAGAAGAAGAAGAAGAAGAAGAAGAAATCTAATTAAAACTCTTAACAGAAGCTTCAGTTAATAACTTTCATACGTCAACGGCATATTTAGTTGATTAGCGATAAGAGTGTAGCTTCCAAAAGAAGCTATTCTTGCTTGTGGTTTAGGTTCATTTTTCTGACCGATAAGAGTATGGCTTCCAAAAGAAACTATTTAGATCCATTTTTCTGACCTTCTGCATCTATAGAGGTACCAATAGCAGCAACATTACACTGAGTTACACCATGATTAACCCCAGCTAACCCACCCCCACTATTTCTTCTTCAGTCGCTGCTATGCATATTTTGAGCGCGACATGGCATGTTTCATGAAAGTGCACTTTTGCTAGTATCAAATGCTTATTCTAGTGCTAGTGGGTGACTTTATGTTTGATTGTGAGAGCCGACGTGTTTTGAAGGAACAAGCTGTGCATTGCATATTCACTTGAATGGGTAAGCAAATGCACTCCAAGGCCCGGAATGCAGTCTAACACCTTTGTTTCTTGGCCTTAAAAACAGCTCTGAACTCTTCCACCTCTCCTTAATGCTGTGTTTGGTTGGGAGATTTGGGAAGGGATTTGGAAACGGAAATGGAAAAGGTAGGTGAAATGTGAATAAATCATGCCTATATTTCACATAGTTTCACACACCTTTTCCCTTTTCTTTTCCAAATCCCTCCCCAAATCCCCCAACCAAACACAGCATAAAACTGATTTTCAATTGAGTCAAATAGAATTCAAAGTTTCTACTAATCTTCCATTTCATTAAAAATCCATTACTAATTTCCTAAACACATGAAATAATTTTTCAGCCAGAAAATCAAAAATATATTTAGACAAATATTTTCCTATGGTACATTTTCAGCAAAAACATAACAATGTATGCAAAAATAGGTGTAGATACAAACTCACCAGAGAAAGAGGCTACAAGATCTCGAGTCTCTTGACTCCAATTGAACCCACGAATGGCCTCGTGCACACCCGCATGGTCCCGCATCCACAACCGCTGACAAATTTTCCACACCGCCACCAGTTCCGGCCGGCTTTCCTTTACCGACGAAGGTATCGATTTCCATAGAAACCGAGCACTATTGCTGCAATACAAAACATATACATAAACCCTAAAAACACCGTAAAACCCCAAAACAATAACACTGAACAAGACATTCATACAAAATCAACTCACATGTCGTCGATGTAGATGTGGCCTAGAAGATGAATCGAGTAGGGCCATTCGTCCTGGAATGTAATCCCTTGCGTTGAAACCTAGAGAGAGAGAAGAGAGAGAAGAGAGAGAAAGCAAATTAGGGTTTGATAAGAAGAGAGATCAACAATGGAATAGGAGGAGAAGCAGAGACAGTGTGTGTGCCTGGAGGATGTGGTCGTCGCAGATATCGGCGATCTTGTCGTAGGATTTGGAAGCCATTGCGTCGCTGAGGAAAGAGAAATCCATTGAAGAGTGAGTGAGCTTTTTCTCTCACACTACTTCGTGTTCGCCCCTGTCTGTGTGTGTGTGTGTGTGTGTGTGTAAGTACGGCTCCGCTCACATCAGCTGTGAATGAGTGAGAGGGTCATCAATCGGTCCAAGGTCTGCTATTCGGCCCAATGCTATAGCCTTTTAGGCCTATTTTGAGAAGTAAAATTAAAAGTTGATTTTTTTTTTTTTAAAAAAAATATATATATATATAGAAAAATAAAAAAAAAAGTTAAAAAGTTAATTTTTAATTTTGTTGCCAAAATAGACCTTTAAAATGGATTGGATTGTTAATGTGAAGATTGTTAGTAATAAAATTAAGAAAATTATGTTTCTTTAATAACCACCAGACTAACAAAATTTTTTGTTTTGTTTTACCATTTGATGATGGTATTAATTATATAAAATTCCATAAATACCTTTGATATTTTTAATATATTTTAATATTAAAAATTATATTTTATAAATAAATTATTATTTTTTGTACTATATGATTTTAATATATATATATATATATATAGCAAATATTATTATAATAACAACCAACACACAAGAAAATTCAATAGCAAATGCATCTAGATATATGCAGCAAGGAACACACAGGTAAGTGAGACTGAAAAAGAAATAGGCCATCAGCTTGTACATGCAAGAGGGTTAAAAGAGTCTTTTTCTGGAAGCTTGGGATTGTATTCTGAATACCAAGCCTTCCAGGGATTGGAAATCCACTTCAACGATAGGATTACTAGTAGAGATTATTAATCCAGCCCAATTTCATCGAAATAAATATAAAATATGTGAGACGTTCCTCACTATTAATCCAATCGCTCATCTATCTCGTATAACAAAACAAACATGGCCAAATAGTATTGGAGCTTGGATCACCTGTCAGATTGACCTATTAAAATGTCTGGAGTGTTCATAAATTAGGTTAGTTTGGTTTTAGAATAAATCAATAATCAAACTAGTCCCTATTATTTCAAAAAAATTGAAACCTTAACTGAACCATTAAATCTATGTAACTGAATCAAAACTAAATTACAGAAATCAGTTTAGTTCTAAAAAATTTATATAGCATACTGACAACAATAGATTTAGTCGTTAATTTTGTAATTAAAATTATGTAGGACAATCTTCACTGTATTTAAAAAGATTTAATTCTATTGTGTACACTCGCCTAGATTTGAAAAAATACAATTAGCTGTACATTTTTTACATAGTTATATTATCATCCTTTAAGATTTTAAATCATATAACACCTTGGTATCTTTTTAAATTTTGGTCATTTTTCATTTATAATTCGTTTGGTTTGGTCGTGTAATTTGGCCTTTGGTCATTTTTCATTTATAATTCGTTTGGTTTGGTCGTGTAATTTGGCCTTCTTATTTTTACATAGAAAAAATATTATAAAAAAATAATAAATGAATATATAATAGTTGAGATTGGTTTGATTTATCAGTTACCTCATTATATTTTTTTTAAAAGAGAGATTATTTGTTTATGTTAGGTCCAAATCTTTTTGGCATTTTATTTTATTTTATTTTATTTTATTTTTTTTGGGTTAAAAGATACTATTGCTTACTCGTGCTAGCTGTAGAAAAGCAAACACATGCAATATCTTTCCATTTCCAGCTCCTCACTTTCTACTTTCGTATTTCATTAAAAAGCTCCCAAACCTCATCACATTGCTCTGGAATGGAATGGAACCATCCTAGAAATTCTAATCTTTTTCCCCCCAATCACTTTCTAAATTACACAACAGAAAAGAAAAGTACTCGTATAGGCCTATTCAAAGGAATAATCCCAACCCAAAGATATAACCCAACTCATAGGTGTTGAAATAATAAAGATACAAGAGAAATATTAATCACCGCTTAATATCTCGAGAGTTTAGTTTTAGAGAAAAATCATAACTAATCTATTGATTGAATTTTTTTAAACTCAAGTCAACTCACTTATCCTCACAAAACCAATAGGTTGGTTAAATATTTTAGCAATTTTAAATAAACTATTTGAGTGGATTAAGCAAGTTAAAAATACAAAATGAAAGAACATCAATTCAATGACTGTACAACCTTAATTTATTTTTATTTTTTTAATATTTTAAACAAAAATTAATTAATTAATTATTTTAAATTCTGACACAAAACTCATAATACATAAGTATATATAATCTTGTATTTTGAAATTTGTTTTTAATACTAAATTTGTTGCCTTTATAACTTCATACACATTTTGATTCCTTGACACCCCAAAATAGAACAATTTAATAGAAATTAAAAACCACTTTTCTTCGACCATGTTTGCCACCAACTTCTTTTTTTTGAACTAGATGTTTGACACCAACTTGAAAGCTAATTTTTGAAGCTTCAAGCTCAAAAAAGCAGAATGAGTTTCGGCCAAACCTTAAAGAATGGGCTTTTCACACTTTCGCCACATGTAGCTCTGCTTTGTTGTTGCGTTTTAAGCTGGTATCAACGAGAGTGCGTGAGTGAGGGTAAAATAATCAATTTATATATATATATATATATATTTTTAAATAAAAGTAACTTCTACCAAAGGTTGTAGCCAATATTTTAAGTTGATGCCAAATCAGGTTATCATTAACTTTAGTTAATATTCCCTCTTTTACTGGTAAGAGTTCAATTTTTGGGGTAATACGGATCTAAAGTTGCAAATGAACAAAATCATTCGTCAACATGTTCGAATTCGACTAGGTAAAAAAATTTTCGAACTTGGTTCGTTAAATTTTTTTTGTCTTCTAGCTTGAGCTCATTAAATTTTTAATGAACAAATCCAAACATTCTAAAACTCAATTTTTAAGCTCCGTTAGTTGGCTCATTTAATATTTATTATATATATATATATTAAATAATGTAAATATATGTATAAAAAATAAGATAAATATGTTATTTATATATTTAAAAAATATAAATATAAATAATAGTTAATTATAGATAATACATTCATTTAATAGTGGTAGTAGATATTATTATTTTGATAAAATATTGATTCTTTTATAATGTTTTGTATAATCAAAGTTTTAATTGTAACTTTAGTCTCATACGTAAATATAAATTTATAATTTTTTTGACTCATTAAAGCTCGTGAACAGATTCGAGCTCGAGTCAAATCTAAACCAACTCGGCTCGAGCTTAGTTCGTTAAATTTTTAATGAGTTCGAACTCGAGTTCGAATTCGTTAAAATCTTAATAAACAAACCCAAACATATTAAAACTCAGTTTGATTTGGCCCGTTTACAACCCTATGTAGATCCAATGCTATGCCTAAAGGCAAATGATATTTACAGTCCAATTTTATGATTAAAAATAAAATATGAGAAACTTAAAATAAAGTGAGAATGTAATTATTAAAAAAAGTAATAATATCAAATTTGCAACATTCAAGCATGTTAGCCCAAATCCAATAAAATTGATCCTGCAAAAATACGAATATCAAATTTTCATTCACGAATGATCACAAATCCATGTTCTCAAAGAAAAAGAGAAAAAAAAAATCCAAATTCACAACCACGTGTACAATGCACAACTTTGACATAGATTTTTTGAGTAATTCTTCTACTTGTACGTAAATAAATTAGAAATTTAGACACAAATCTCTTATATAAATGTGAAATTGACAAAAAAATTAAAATTAACTCATATGAGATAGGATTGTATCTAATTCTACAATAAATTTATATATTTTTAAGACATTTTCATATCTTAATAAACTAAAAAAACAATACACAATATATCAATACATAATCTCTCCACCAAAAAAAAACAATTAAATAAATAAAAAATTGGGAGATAGAAGAAAAGTGAAGGGGGAGCAGGATGGCATACATCAGTTTCAACTTTACAGGTGAGAAACAAAATTTGCAGGGGGGGTGAAAAAGAAAACACTAATTAATGGTTTTGGAAATATTTGAAGGGGTAGGGAGAGAGGGGTGGGTTGGGTTAGACAGTCAAGCCATCAAAACCACACTGTTTGTAAGTGAGAGCCTGTTTCCTTGGACTTATCACTATCGCACAATCCACCGATACCTGTAATGCCATCAAAATTATCATCACCACCAGTTCGCTCGAAATATAGAAAGAGAAACAAACAGACTTCCCAAGAAAAATCATAGATATAGAAGAATAACATCTCAATACAACTGTGGGGTGTTTTGAGAAGCAACAAAAGCTAACTTTTAGCTTTTTACTCATTTTGGGTCATATCACTTCTCATATTTTTTACTCAAAAAAAGATAAAATAGTCTAAAAAAATAAAAAAAATTAACTTTCTACCAACTTTTCAAAACACCAATGTATATGTATATTTTTTTTTTTTTTGGCAAAAGGGCATTACATTACATCATGTCATGTTGGACGGATCCACAAAAATCTCAGTGCTAGTGGGATTTATTTATTTTTTTTAAGTGGTTTTTTCTTTTTTTACAATATAATTCGACTTACAAAGTAAAACGAACTATTAAACCTGTTAAGAGTTTAAATAAAAAGACTAAAGTATCTTTGTAGAAAGTAATATTACTCACAAACATTTTCATCATCTTTTAAGAGGTAAAAATCGTTGTTGACACACATTTGACAATCAACACATAACTCTTTATTATTCTACTATGTGATGTTAATTGAGAAGATATGTCTATGATGGACTTTAGCTTACAAATTACAAAAGAATATGAGATTATTTTCAAATAATAAGAATAACCCACACATGAATAAAGCGAGATTGGCCAACCATGAAAAAACATACATATATATATATATATACATCATGAAACTACACGTAATAATGTTATTTATCCAAAAAATAAAATTCACTTTTCAAACTCATTGATGTAATAATTAATAAAAATATTTAAAATAACACTCTCTTTCATATATTCTCTAATCATTAACCAATCATATCTTATACATTATTAAGTCTAAAAAACTAATTTAAAAAATGAATTTATATATCATTTTTCATGTTATTTTTACAAATCATATGTTTTTATATACAAAAATTAATTACTTTAGAAACATAAATTTAGATTACTGACCCCCCACAACAGACGGTTATTATTAGCTTTTCCCTCGAAAAAACATAAGCCTGTTATTTTGACTTTTTTAATTAACTTTTTTTTTCCCATTTGATCAACCGGATCTGTGTTATCTTGATAAGCAACCTGATTTTTGTCTTATCTTGATTTACAAATAAACTTTGAAAGCTCTCATCAATGGCAGTTTTAGATCTCATGTTTACTTTGTGAAGAAGGGTCGTGAATTTTTTCCAAAACAAGCCAAAGTCTACATTTTTTTTATCCAATAAGCAAGGCTTTTTTACAATTCCTCAACTTTTTCTTTTTTCTTGCAGATTCTTGTCTTCCAAACAACCCAACTTTCCATGTTCAGCTGAAAAAGAAAAAAGAAAATAAAACCGAGAAGAATTACGTCATTTCTAGATAAATAATGATGTGAGTTCGAAATAAATTCGTGTAAAGAATTGATTTTTGGGTTTGTTTCGAGAAAGTGATTTGAGTTTTGATTGCTCGATTCTGGGGTCATTTTCTTTCTAAGGAAAGTGAGAGAAAACATGGGAGAACAAGTGGGATTCATTGTGTGTTTTTGGTCTCTTCTATATGGGTCTTGTTTGGGTAGATTTGTGGTGGAGAGGAATAACTTGAAGGTGACTTCACCGGACTCTTTGAAAGGTGTTCATGAATCTACAATTGGGAATTTTGGGGTTCCTCAATATGGAGGAACAATGGTTGAAACTATGGTTTATGCAAAGGCTAATCAAAAGGCTTGTAAGAGCTTCAGTGATGTTGATCTCTCCTTAAAATCCAAGCCTAGTGGTCTTCCAATCTTCCTTCTTGCCGATCGAGGAGGTGAAATTTTTTAATTTACAATTTTTCTTTTTTATGAATGTGTTCTTTCTCACACTCAATTCTTCTTTTCCTTCTTCTGTTATTTTGATAGTCGACTGCAAGGGACGACCAGTGGGATGACCCATGGGACGACCGGTGGGTCAATCGGCCGGATATCCGGCTAGTTGACTGGTTGGCCCACCCCTAACATTACAGTATAGTGAAGTGGTGAAATCTTGCGCTTGTCCTCAGTTTGATGAAAGTTTTGTGCCGTTTTCATATCAATTTGGTAAAACCATTGGAGAGAGAAAAATAGACTTTTTCATCAAATTTGAATTTGATACTTAATCTGATGCACCATTAGAGATGAACTTAGGCTAGTTTGTTAACTAATAGATATTTGGTCGGCACAAAATTTAATTAGTGTTTTAGGCTCGTTTGTTAATTATATATTTTAGTTAAAAAAATAAAAAATTATTATAATTTATCGCATCACTCTCTTTATTTTTCTACATATCTTTTCATAAAAAATCAAAAAATTATTAAAATAATATGTTCTCAAACAAGGTCAAACAAGGTCATAGTAAGTTTACATACACATAAATTAAATACAAAATGGGACACAACTCTTTCATAATTTAAAAAATATATACTTCAAATTTTTATGAGTAATAATTTTTTAATTGTGTAGTATAAGATCCAAATATAAATGAATATGAGTTATACGTTGATATTTCTATGTAAAATTCACAATAAAATTTTAAATTTTTTTTTTAGCATTTTTAATTGCTAAAAGGCTAAATTTTTATAAACATAATTACAAAAAGTGAAAGAGACAAAAAAAAAACGTAAATCAAACACAATTAAAAATATTGTTCAAAAAAACACAATTAAAAATAAATACATAAACCAAACCATATAAAAAGTAGGGCTACACAAATTATCTTGTGAAATTTCATTTTGCTGGAATTTATGAAAAAATATATATTAGTGAAACATTTTTTATAATATTAAAAGATAAAACTTATAGTAACTTTTTTCATAAACCTTTAATTTTATAACTTACCAACAAACGAAATGATGGTTTGTATTTCTCAAAAAATTTTGAGAAATTTTTTTTACAAATAAGTTTTCAAAAGTAATCAAACCAAATAAATTTTTCTAAATTTTTTTTTTAAAACTTGTTTGGTTTACAAATTTTCCAAACAAATCTCTCTCTCTTACACATCAAATCAATCACTTTTTCTAAAATTCTCTCTCAAAATAATTTTTCAAAACATCTTTTGAAAGAAAACCAAACAAAACAAATTTTCGTACTTTTTATCTCAAAATATGTTTCTCAAATACAAACCAAAGAAGGCCGATATTTTTCCAACTTTCTTCCAAAAAAAAACACCCAAAACAAGACAAAAATGTCGGGCGCACATTATCACCTTATAGTCTGTGACCAGCTCAAGTTAGCACGCACATTGGAAACCACAGGCAGTGGCGGTTTAGCAGCCGTCGGCAGCGTAGCTCCGCCCTGTCACGGCGGCGCTACATATATATATATATATATAGAGAGAGAGAGAGAGAGAGAGAGAGAGAGAGAGAATGCTAACCTGGACGGCGGGGGAAGTGAAGCCGAGAATCCGGATCTTAGCCCCAACATCACCCAAAACCCTAAGCTCAACCCTGTCATTGAGCTCGGCATCCCTAACAAGCTCCGCCGCATCGGCCTGCAACAAGCTTACCCTATCGACGGCCACGGTGGTCTCCACCTCCCTCACACTATGCGCCTCCTGATAAAAGCCCGGCACCACCCCTCTCCCAAGAGGAATCCCCCTATACATGACAGTGAATCTGGACTCCGAGTACTTGATTCCGACCTTGTTATCGTTGACGGCGGTGAAGAGGAGGCGAATGGTGAGCGAGACGGAGGCGGAAGTAGGGGTGGTGGGGGAGATGCCGAGGTACTGGACGCCGACTTGTTGGAGATCGAATTGGGGTTTTTTGGGTTTGAGGGCGAAGAAGAAGACGAGGAAGAGGGCCAGGATGAGGAGGGCAAGGAAGGAGAAGAGGAGGAAAAGACAGCAGCAACACCCTTTGAATGAGGCTTTGGAGGAGGAGGAGTATGTGTGGTCAGTGTTGAAGGTGGGTCTGGTGCTGGAGGTCATTTTCGTGATATTGTGCTCTCCACCTTCTTCCTCTTGTTCTTCTCTCTCTCTTCTGCTATTTGTTGTTTTTGAAGAGAGCGAGAGAGAGAGAGTGTTGGTGTTACAGTCTGGTTATGGTAGTTGGCTGGGACCTTTTTGTTTGTCAAATTGAAAGAGAAGTTATTGTCTGTCCTCCACATTTGTTTGGCGATTACCTTAGACGAAATTGTTAGTGGGAAGATGATTAATAAAGAAATTATTAATGTAAAAATTATTAGTGAATAGATTAACACTGTGTTTGGAAATTCATGAGAGAAAAGAAAAGAAATGATTATTTAAGTAATAAGAAAAAAGAAAAGAAATGATTGTGATTTTTTTTATTTTTGTTTGGATAAGGAAGAAATAAAAGAAAAAAAATGATTATGATTTCTCTCATTCTTATTTGGTTAGATTTCATTAAGAGAAAATAAAAGAAATTATTTTATGTTATATTACCAAAATAACATTTTTATATTTTCAATCATTTTATTTCTTTTATTTTTATAGGGACAAAATTGGTACTGTGAAAATAGTGGTTTCTTTTCTTTCCCAATCTCTCCACTTTTGGAAAGATTGAAAATTAGGCTTATAAGATAAATGAGTTTCTCTCAATTTCTTTCCATTTCTCTTCACTTAGGTTATCCAAATAAGTAAGAGAAATGCATATCTCTCCATTTCTTTTCTTTTCTCTCCAAATCACCCAATCCAAACATAGCGTAAGTAAGAATATATTTATTTTAATGATAGTGTGAGAAATGGTTAGTGATAAAATTATTAAATTATTTTTATATAAAATAAATAAATAAATTATTTCTATATTAAAAAAATTAAAATAAATATTAAAATAAACAGATGCACTTGATAAAAATAAAATTAAATTAAAAAAATTTTTTTTTATATAAAATAGATTTAACTTATTCATTATTTTTCTAATCCTATTCAAAATTTAATCAAATTAATTTCTTTTCTAAAAGAGATTACTAAATCTCTCACACTGTTAATCTTCCTCCCAAATCATCACCAAATAAGATGTAAGTGGGACTCATACTCATATTAATCCAATCTAGTCTCCTACCCCGCTAAATAAATATGTTCTATATGTATTATAATTATTAAAAAATGTGAGGTTTATAATTTTGTATTAAATAATTGGAAAATAAGTAGCACATCAAAAATTTATAAGCAACTTGGAACATGACACGTAATATTTCACGATCAATTAATAAGTTTTTAAGTTGAAAAGGTGGAATTGTACACGTTGCGTTGCTGGGGAATATTTTAAAAAGATAATAAATATTAATAATTATATATATATATATATATATATTTTATGTCAGATGTAATTCTACCAATTAAAAATGTAAGGCATCAACGAATAGTAGATAAAATGGCTTTCCGATTACGAAGGTAAAAGGTTAATTAAACTGGGGGAATTATTTATAAAAAATAAAAAATATTAATAATTAAAATTATAAATTACTTTCTTTTTTCTAAATAGTTTTTTTAATTCTCACTAAATAGTAATTCTCTCGTTAAACTACGACTTCGTTCAAAAGAGTTAGATAGATAAGTTGAGACAAATTTATTTTATTCTAGTGATGAGACAAAATTTATTTTATTCTAGTAATTTTACTCTATGTGCAATTTACCTACCATTTAAAATAGGTATATAATATGATATAATCTATGAACTAAATTGTCCCCATTAGAAATTCTGTTTAAATTAATAGCAACAGTAAAACATGTGATTGAAAATAAAAAACAAAGGCAATGGTTTGCCTCCAGTTCACCATCTGAATTGGAGGGTCTACTCTGATCTATTGGGCTCACTTTTTGATAATCTGAATCGTTCACATTTTAAGAATTGTTGAGTACATTATTCCTGTAAAAAATCATATCGATCGGATAACATATATTATGTATTCAGATCATTTTTTTATGAATCGTTAATTTTCTGACCATCTATTTTTTTAGACAAAAGTATTCAGAATATATAGTATTTTTTATCCGATCGACATAATTTTTACAGGAATAATGTAATCCTAAAATGTGAACAATTCAAATTAACAAAAAAATATCCAAAAGTGAATCCAATAGATCGAACTAAACTAGACTGTCCCGGATCTAGACTAGTGACAGTCCAAACCCAAAATTAAATAAACTACTACATAAGTTAAGGAGCAAAACACAAGAGGTAACGGGTATTTTAAATTTCAAAAAATAACTAAAATGCCTGCAATGTACAAAATGAGGTTACCTATGTATAAAAATATTTTAGTCTTTTTGTTTACTATTAACAGTAGGCATTTCAAATGTCAAAAAATAAACAGCATATAAAATAAACTGTATAGAATTAAACTGAAAATTTCATAAAATTAATTGGGGATCCAGCTTCCACCTAAATGCATTGATCACCTTATTTTATTTCATGCTAAAGTGAGTAGTTTTCAAAAGAAATGGTAATAAAATTTTAAATTGTGGGATTTATGGGTGAATGAAAGTGATCTAATTGTAAATTTTAGGGCAAATTACAAACACTCCCCTCGAGATTTGGTAAAAATACAGATTCCCTCTGAAGTTTGAGAAATTACATCCCGTCCCCTGAGGTTTATATTTTCATAACAATTTGCCCCATGAAATTTTTATTTTCATACAGATTTTCCCCCTAATTTTTCCTAATTTGTTATGAAAATTTGACCTTTAAGGGGCAATTTGTAATTTCTCAAACCTCATGAGAGAATCTGTATTTTTATCAAACCTCGAGGGGGTGTTTGTAATTTGTCCTAAATTTTAAGTTTTTGTGTTGAAGTTCAAGCTTAGTATTTGATTTGGAGCAGTTATGCTATCTATCATTTTGGTGGATAAGCCATCACATGTTTGATGATTGGTGAAATGGCAACTAAATTATGACCAATAAGAAAGAAAAAAAAATTTCTTATTTACTATCTATTGTTTTTTTTTATTAATTTTTATATCTAATTTAATTTTAAATTTAAATAAAAAAATTTAATTTGACATAAACTACTACACTAATCATTTCATCAGATTTCCATTAAAATCTTTTTAAAAATTCACTTCTTATCTCAAATTTCATTTTTGAAATTGGATCTCTAATGCTTTATTTTTTAAATTTTTCATTAAATTCAAATTTGTATAAGTATTTGATTAAAAAAATGAAAGGCAAATTTCACTTTACGGCGCTGTGGTTTGGGCCGAGTGCGGTTTGCCCCCCTGACATTCAAATATCACCACATAACCCCCCTGTAGTTGATGGATTAAAACGCACACTAACTTCTGTTACCAGAAGTTGTAATAAATTAACAATTATATCCTCATATATATTTATTTTAGGGAAAACCAGTTCTTTCTCTCTCCATCTTCGTTTTCTTCTTTTCTCTCTCTCTCTCAATTTCTGGGTTCAGATCCAAAAAATAATGTGCACTTTATCTTTTAAATAAATAATGTGCACCTACAGCCACTTCTAAGAAGCAACTTTTCACATATTACATTATATATATATCACCACATAACCCCCCTGTAGTTGATGGAGTAAAACGCACACTAACTTCTGTTAACAGAAGTTGTAATAAATTAACAATTATATCCTCATATATATATTATTTTAGGGAAAACCAGTTCTTTCTCTCTCCATCTTCGTCTTCTTCTTCTTTTCTCTCTCTCTCTCTCAATTTCTGGGTTCAGATCCGAAAAATAATGTGCACCTACAGCCACTTCTAAGAAGCAACTTTTCACATATTACATTATATATATACTATCAGATTGAATTTGACCCAAATATATATATATATATATATATACTATGAATCTGACCAGAATTTGACCCAAATAAATGTGAAGCTTGTTCCAATATATGAGTTTGTGATCAATGGTATCGTTTTGACTGGTTTCTTTGATACGACATCGCTGTGGTGGCGTTGTCATAGGGATTACAAGCTTAAATTGGAAGTGAGAGTTCTTTCTTGTAGATCATGTCACATTACAGTACCTTAAATTAATTGGAAGGGGTGATGAGACTGTTCGTTTGTCTTTTCTTTTTCTTTTTGTTTCCTTATTTTTTGTTGTGTGCTATATTTGGTTGATGGATTTCTTATATAAATTTCTGACTGCTATTGCTAAAATAATTCATAGGTGACTGCTATTGCTAAAATAATGATGTAGAAAACAAAATTTCTTCCATTTTTTGTTATTTTCCTACATGTATGCATTTCTTCTTGGCATTCTTACACCTGAGGCTAATGGGATTATTTCAGAGCCTCAACGAAAAAGAGTATTCTCATCATATTTAGAGTTGGACCTAGCAGATGTAGAACCCTGTGTTTCAGGACCAAAAAGCTAATGTTTTATTGTCAGTTCTGACACCAAATATTTTGCACTTCCATGTTATTGTTGTGTGCTTATATGGATAGTTTTTTTTTTTTTTTTTTTTTTTTAACAAGCCTCATGATCGAGTTCCTCTAAAAAACATGAAGGCTGACTGACATTTATGTCTCGATAGTAAAGTTGGATTCTAAGTAAAATGAAAGCAGCCATTGCTTGGATTGGCTATAATTTGGTTTTCCAGATTGTGGTTCTGCCATTACAAGCTTTCAATTTTCCCAAATTACAAGCTTCCAAACCTCATCTTCAATCCACCATAGAGAGAGAAACAGTAAAGAAAGTACGAAGAAGAATGGTATTTTTTTGTAAATTTGAAGGTGAATGAGGAGTAACTGTCTTAAAAATCAACTTCCTCTCTTCTAAGCGCGTGAGCTTCACATTCCGTTAATTTAAATGAAAAAGCTAACGGTGCACTTTGATCCATAAACTACATGAAGATCATGTAGTGATTTCAGAATATCAAAGGGATAAACCGCACCCTGCTCAAACCATAAAGGGGCCTAAAACCATAGAGGGTAAAGTGAAATTTGCCCAAAAATAAAAAATAAATTCTCCCTTAATTTGATAATGAAAGCATTGGAGCTGGTTTTTCAACACTTCTTTATCAAATTTAAATTTGATAAAAAAGAAAAGTTAAGAGTTGGATGCTTATAGTTTGGTCATGAATGAACCCAGAGTTCGATCAAGGAAAGGTTTAAAAAAGTAAAAATAAAATAATAAATAAATAAATAAACGGTTAGTACTTTCAAAACTCAATTTTAAAATTAAAAAAAAAAAAAGTACAAAAACATAATTGATGTTATGTTTTGAAAGCACATCTATAAACCTGATGTCCTGTTTTGGAAACACTTCTTCACAACACAACGAGTTTATGAAATAATTTTAAAATTACTTAGATTTGGAAACTACGATTTAAAATGGCATTTGTTTGGCCAGGAAACTCCTACAAGGCTACAACCATACAAATAAATCCAAAACAAGAGCCACAAATAATTAAAACCCCTTACCCATTAAAAAAAAAAAAAAAAAAACCCTTACAAAATTTATGGTGTTGGTGAGAAAAAAATAACACAAATTCGAAAGACAATACTCATAAAAGGCCAGTCCACATGTGAAAATAAAGGTTACACAATACAAACCACACACACACACACACACACACACACATATATATGGAAATAACATAGAAGACAGGAAATGGAATGCTTCAAATCAAACACTACTGATCTGTATTATCCACATGTGGACTCCCATTACCTGTTTCTGGCTTAACTGTTTCGTCAGTCCTGTTGTTCTCGTCGACTTCAAGCACATCATCCATCATATCATCCTCTCCGACGTTGATATCCTCCACATCATCCTCATCTTGGTTGTTGCTTCCACTGGGGATCTTTCGTGTCTTGGGACCATGCTCAAGCCTGTGGGTCTCCAGTTCTTTGTCCATTGTCTCTTGTAAGTTCAACATATCATTGTTTGGTTTCCTAGCTTTTCTTGCATTTTGCCACCTCTCCAGCTCCTTTTCGACATTGGCAAGATACTGCTCCCCAATTTGCTTCTGATATTGTGATAATTCTTCCCTCCTCGCATCCTTCCATGCTTGAAAAGTCTGATACGCAAAATCAAGATCATCAATGTTTAGAGAAATGAAAAACTCAATCACACTGTTTAGTTGTCTTCAATTATTATTATTATTTTTTCTTGAGGGGATTTTTTGTTGTGTGCTATATTTGGTTGATGGAACTTGCTTTGTTTTTCTGTTTTCGTGTTTTGGAAAACAAAAGTGGGTTCAGAGCCAAACAAAGATTTTGTATTTTCCAAGGAAAAAAAAAAAGTTGCCAACCAAGCAGAGTAATGTGTCTACAAAGTAAGAAAATAACTTCGAGTAATGTTATGTCCAAATTGTTGAACCAAATTTGTTTACCATTTGACATGTCATCACTAGGTGCCACGTGGCACAGGCTAAACAAATTTAGTACAAAAAAAATCTCCCAAATTGTCATCAATCCCTTCTGCCAACTATATTCGTTATTGTTACTCCACAAAGATGCATAACACATTAAATCTTTATTTAGTCAAGGTACCTAGATAGATTGAATGGAAGGTATATTCAAATCCTTCCAAAGGATAGTTTACCCGTCCTTTATGGAGGTTCCGCCCTTTTTTTTGTATTCAGCCAAACAAACCAAACCAAACCTTACCTAGTGTCCCAATTGAGTGGGATTAGCTACATAAATCCTTTTTCACTATTTTGCTCTATCAAGAGCTATATGTTCAATTAAATTAAATAAATATGTATATTTTTTCACTACTGTGTCCTATGACAACTTAGGTCCCCCCCACCATCTCCATTTATAGTGATCATATCACTCTTCCTTATCGTTGCATCTATAAGTTTTCATGACCAAACCATCTTAACATATTCTCTCCCAACATATCTTCAACAAGTGTCACTCCTGCTATTTCACAACTATAATTATTTTTAATTCTATTTTTTCTAGTCTTATCACAGATCCATCTAAACATGCTCATCTCAGCCATACTCATCTAGTGCACATATTGTTAACACTATGTCCCGTAAAGCTTCGCCAATCCAATTAAATACAAGGCAATATTTTACAGAGTGCTTCCATTAATCCAAACTGTTTGCCGTGGACAGAAACTCACCTGTTCCTTCTGCTGCTCAATTAACACTGCATCATCATCCATCGGCTTGCTAAACATGTAATATATAGGAGGCTCTGCCTTAGTCCTGGAAGCACAAACCCAAAAACAAATTGAAAAAAAGAGTTAAGAACATGTTATAAAATACTGTCCCGATCAACCTATGGTCCTGCCAAGCACGAAGCTTTCAGTCATCCAGTTGCTTCAGCTCTATGCACATGTACAGAAACTTATCTTCGTCTCAATAAAATTGTGAATATGGACACTTTTGGACCAAAATTAGAAATAACCTGTGGCAGAGAGAACTCAGTAAGCTCATAAGAAAAGGAAAGCTCAATTGTCCAAGTTCCCCATTTAAGGGATATTTGGAGAAAAAAGAATGCCTGCATAGCATATTAATGACATTAAAAAAACTGCACCTTAAAAAGTTGCCAAGTTTTCTTTGGTGCTCACTCCACCGAAGGAACAACAATTCCAACTTCTTTTCCTCTGCCTTGGCAGCAACACGTGCCCTGAGAGTCTGGTAGGAAAACAAACAGTAATATCAAAAAGAATAAATAACAGAAATTACCATGTACATACATGAAAGATTCCATTCTAAACTTCATCGACAGGGATGCACAATTAAAGTGAGATATAACAAACCAAATCTCTTCTCCGTTTCTCTGCAATTTGTTCGCGCTCCTGTTGTCTCAGCCTTTCACTTTCTTCACGAGCCCTTTGCTCAGCCTATATAAGTATTTAAACATTTATACAGATACAGATACAATTTTTTTGGTACAAGAAGCAAACATACCCAAAAACAAAACAAAAAAAAGAGAGCTAAAGACATCAAACACACAAAAGAGAAATACCAAAAAGCAACTCTAAAGATGTCAAACAAGCATAACTACACAACACACTGCCAGAATACCAGCTATTATAGTCCTCTCACAGATTCACACTGATTTTATTTGTTAGTAAAAACTGGAAGTGAAATTAATGGAAAGTGTAGAAGCTAAAAAGTACTCACTCTTTGTAACGAATTAGACCTCCGCATGTACGCCTCCGTTCCTGAGAGTTGCTTGTCTTCCTTCCTGAATTTCTGGAACAGGTTCACACAAATGAGAAAAACAATGACAACATTAGAATGGACACAAAGACAAACACGAAGACCACACTAATAACAAATTAAGAGGAATTTGTTGGCTGGAAAAAACAATTTATTCAGAAAAATAGTAGTAGAAATATAATATAATGGAACTTCAGCAAAAGAAGGATCAGTTCTCCACAATTATTTGAGGCATACTGAAGAAGTTCATATATAGTGTTTCAATTTTGAAAATATTACATGCATGATACATGTCCTATCGTTTTGTAAATATATTATGTGTCTACTTTTAGTGAAGTGCTTTAAGGAAGTTGTTGTGCTTCATGTTTTCATTTGGATAGAATAAACAGAAGAGAGATTTCAACAGAGCATGGCCTTTGCTGCCTTAGAATGACAGAAATATTCCTGTTTACAAGTCCATCCACATTTATGAATCTGAGGGATTTAGAGGGTGCTACAAGAAACTCTGTATTGGCCAAGTTAATGAGTTGGTGACTAATGGACTTTTGACTACTGACACTATTCAAATGGTAAACCATTTCCAAGACTGCAGCTGATTCTGTCACGAGCAACTGTTGAACAAGGTTCTAGTCCATGTCCTAATCAAGGCAATCCTATGGGTCAGAGCTCATTCTTTTAACAAGCATACAGTAAGAACCTGGCTTCACCTACTCCTTGTGGGCTCAAGAGAACAAAGAAAACATAATCATTAGCTTCATACAAGTTTATTACTTCACATTGACTCTGGAAGGCTTGTTGAGGGAGTTTATTTGGCTGACAACCACTAGCTAATGTTAAAATACTAAGAGATAGCTCATAGCTATCATGTTAAATCACCTCAAAAATTCCAATGATTACTTTAAAATTGATAGTAGCCACTTAAATCACATTTTAAAAAAGGTGCAACAACAACTAAAGTAGTCACAATAGCAACCCATCATACAAAAAACAAAGAAGCCATACATGCCGTGCATGGATTCCTCACCACAAAGGATCCGAACAGATGTTGATATGAGAAGCATACACTCAAGGGCACAAATGACATCAAGAATATGTCAAACTTGAGGGCTCTTGACATGTTTAAGCTAGCAGATAACTATTTCACTTTTACTCTTGATGTTGACTGGAAATTTTCCTGATTGCTTCCTTTAGTGTTAATTCTCACGTGGTAATATCAACATCTAAAAGTAGGTTTTTTTTTGTTCCAAATACTTGTATCTATCAGTATAGCTAGTATCATCAATGACTTCCACTTTCTCTGGCTACAACAATTTAACAGAAACCAACCTAACTACAAAAAGTACATCCAATTTAGTCTCCATTGGATGCGGATCTAGGAGGAAGGGATAGATTGGGTATAGACCTTCGACATAATTTCCACAAAGGGACTGCCTCCTTAGGTTCGAACCCACAATCTCAAGATTATTAGGCCAAGTTTTAACCACCTAACGAGTGGTCCGCTTTGAAACCAACTTAACTAATCATTATTTCAAAGTAGTGTTTTGGTACAGGTTCACCGTTGGTGAATGGAAGACGATCATAGGCTTGTTAACAAGTTAACTCAAATACTTGAACAATTGCTATAATGCTTTCTGCATATAAGGAAACACATTCCGAAGGAAATCCCACATTCCCCCAGATTCCATTTAAGAACAAGTTTTGAAAAATTCAAACTAACTAATGCTACACATACAACTAGACTTAATTTGGGCACAATAAAAAGTGGTCATATAGATTTTGCTCACCCACATTTTTTTAACAATAAGCACAAGCTTGTACATTTAACGTCTTTCAACTACAATAAAAGCTTGCTGAATATTCATCTTCTATTAAGTAGTGCAACCAAATCATAATCTTCATCACTTGAAGTACCAATAGGGGCCCCATTGCCCCAAATTACATAGGAAGAAGAAAGGTAATATGTTTAAGCTATAAGATTATAAATAATAAAAAATACAATTCTCAACGAAATGTTTGAACCAGATATAATCAACTCAAATAAGCCTTTTGAGCAACTACTTGGGTCAACAACACCAATTAGGCACATACTATTTGTCTAATAAGGCTATGACTTTGGTCAAACTAGATGCTACCAGGTCTTTCTTTAATACCTCCACCCCCTTAGTGAAGGTCTTCTATTTGCCGTAACATTCCCCATCAGGTGACTTTCTCCACAATTAAGTTATTATGTTCCAAAGGAAATGACAAATCATCTGGTTGATTCCCTTTTTTTAAAATTTTCTATACGTGCTTCTCCACCTTCTCACACAAAAAGCTTGAAAACTTAAAATCTTGCAATTCTTGAGATTTCCTATCTAGAAGAAAAGGTCCCTATAACAGAACATTGAAACAAAATAGGCTGACAAATTGAAAATTTTTGCCCATCATAAAAAAAAAGTCATTAACATTTTTTTTTTTTATTACAATCACTTTTAAGTTGGAGAAAGATCCTTTAACAACATTATGACAAATAGTACTCTACTTAGTCCACATGGGTCAATTCAAGTGCTTCCCACAGAAATACCGAATAGAGTTGGATAAAGCAGCTAACTTCCACAACTCAAAGAGCTAAAAGATGGAGCTCCATCAAAAAGTTGAAGTGAATTGCATATGTCAATGAACACTGATACAAGTATAGAATTACAGTGTATGCAAATGGTGTTTTCACCACTCAAGTCACAGTTTTTTTTGTTGTTGATAAATACATGCATAATATTGCACTTATAAAGCCAGAGATTTTGCATGTGCATAAATAGAGGCACAATGTAAGCAATGTATAACTTTTTTGGCATTTTCATAGTCAGCACTTGCTCACAGAAGTCCTTTGCACTAATATAGAAACAAATTCTCCAAAGTAAAATATTGTGAATATATAAGACGTCCATGATATATCACAAGCACAGTGACTCCCTCAATTGATATATATTATCAGAAAGATGTGAATTGACACAATGGCATAATTCATGCAAAATAACACCTCCTATTTCCTTCACAAACTCTAGTACAACAACGACGACAATCGGAAGTTAATACAATTCCATGTATACTTCAAAGATTACTAAAAATTTAATTGCAGTAATCTTTTCCAACAAAAGGAAATCGTTCAAAATTAGTTCTAACCCCGAAAGTGATCACACATCACATAAATATAGTGAAGCAAGCAAGTTTCAAATCTTATGCGGTAATAAATAAATAAAAAGAATAGAGTTTAAAAGCACCTCCAATGTCCCCAAAAGCTGTCCGAGCATTCTTTTATTTCTATTAACCAAGCTTGGGTCCTCATCCTTTGGCAATACCCTTGGAACATGCTCTGTCGGAGGAACTTCAAAATCCTAATTGCACACACACACAAAAGAGAGAGAGAGAGGATGCAAACCTTAAACCACCAGCATTCCATTACACAAATAACGATCAAAGCACCAACAAAACATGAAAGAAAAGTAAGAAACATTTTCAATTTTTACCATCTTAGATGGCCTTTGATTGCCATCCCTCCTTGACAAATTGGATGGCTTTCTCTCACTCTGGTTTGCTGTGACACCACTACTGCTACTACCTTCCACGGCTGAATCCTTCTTCTTTGCATTATTTGCAGCCTCGGCAGCATCTTCAATGATCTCTCCATCCTCAGCCTTCACTCCCAATCAAGAAAACACCAAGATTCAAACAAAACCCACAATAATTTCAAAAAATAAAATAAAAAGGAAAGATCATATTTTCACTTACCTTAACTATAGCAGAAGAGAGTCTCCTCTTCTGCGGAGGCTGGTCTTCAGAATCAGTCCTTTCAGCCTGAAATCAATCAACCATTCAACTAAAAAATGTTGAAACCATGAATGCCTAGAGACATAAATTTATTACATAAAACACACAACTCATAATTTTTCTCCAGTAATAACTACTAACAGTTTGCAAATTCAATCTATCTTCCTCATTCATAAAGTTACCAAAAAAACTATCCATTCTATTATATAAAGCACACAACTTGGAACAGTTTTGAAGCTTCATAACGCTTCTTTTTATTTTCTTTTCCAAGAATGCCCATATTGTTAACTGCTAATAACTAATAACAGTTCTCAAATTCAATCCATCTTCATCATTCATCAAATAACCAAAAATATTATCGATTCTATTATATAAAGCACACAACCCAGAACAGTTTTGAACCTTCATCATCCTTTTTTTTTTTTTGTTCTTTCCCAAGAATGCCCATATTGTTATCTGCTAATAACTAATAACAATTCTCAAATTCAACCCATCTTCCTCATTCATCAAATCACCAAAAAAAAAAATTAGATGTATAATTATAGATATATGTAGAGAGAGAGAGAGAGATTACAGGTCTAAGAAATCCACGCTGGCGGCCGCCGTCGGCAATAAAATTCCGAGGGCCGGGGCCCGATAGGCCTCCGCGGCGGAGACCCCTTGGATCGCGAAGCCGCTCCGTGATCTATACCCAGTGAAAAAACAATCGATATAGATAATGAAAAACAAGAAATAGAGATCAAAACATATAGATGTATGGTTATGGGGATGGGGTGTGAGAGAGAGAGAGATGACCTCCCATTTTTGGCGGTTGAGTTCTTCGATCTCTTTGCGAAGCTCTTCCTCTGTCTTCTCCGCCGCGACTGTGCCCATTTTTGAGGGGAGGGTTTTGTGGAGAAGAACAACAACTCAGCTGTGTGTGTGTGTGTGTGTGTGTGTGTGTGTGTCTCTCTCTCCCCTCCCTCCCTCCTCGGTGCTTCTGCTTAAAACCCTTGCCTCACCTCACCCAACACAACAACTTTTAAAAATTGATATAAAAATATAGAGTGGGTTTGTGTTTTGACATAAATTTTTTACAAAGGAAAATGACTCATACACCCACTGGGGTCTACAGTGAGATGTCACTCCGGGGTTGGTCGAAAAAAAAAATTTTTTTTTTTTTTTTTGAGTTTTCAGTCAGTGGGGGCGCGCCATGTCACTGGGGGCACGACCCCCACTGGAAGTATGCAGCGCGGTTGTTTTACAAAGGGTGTTTGGAAAAAATTTTTAATTTGTTTGATTGTATATTTTGAAAATTGTTTTAAAGATTGGGATGATTTAATATTTTATTATAATTAAGTAGATGTGTGAGAGATAAAAAGTGATTGAAAATAAGAGAAAAAAGAGAAAAAGAGATTGATTGATATGTAATAGAGAGAAAAATAATTTTAAACTTTTTTTGAGAAAATTTGTAACCAAACATGTTTTTGAAAATTTTCTTCCAAAAAAATGTTTCAAAATACAAACTAAACCTATGTTTTTAACAATTTTAAAACACAATATGCCTAAAAAAATTATAAAAAATCATATAAAATAATGAGTGCTTTTAATTTTATTTTATTTTTTACCAAATTAGTTTTAAATTTTTTTTTAGAAAAATTCTGAAAATTCAACCAAATATTTTTAATAAAATTTTGAAAACTCCACTAATTACTAGATCAAATAATGTTATATAAACATTTTTTTGTAATATAAGATCTCGTTTGAGAATAAATTATTTTAGTATTTTTTTAACATTTTACAAAAAAATGTGTAGGAGAAAAAATAATATGACAACTTATAATAATTTTTTAACTTTTTAATTAAAACACATAGTTACCAAACGAAAATTTCTTTATAAACTGATAAGTAGAGAATTGGATCTATTAGAGCATCCACAGTGGAGCTGCTAACGCTAGTGTTAGCGTCAGTTGTTAAAATTTAGCTAGCAATGTTTGTTGTTAGGTCGTGCAATAGAACTGTTAAGGGTAGTATTAGTCTACTTTGTTAGTGTCAGTTGTTAGTGTGTTTGTTATCTGCAGCGAGTGTTCTAGCGAGGGAGGGGAAGTGAGTTTTTTGTCTTCCGGGTTGACCGGCCAGCCGGACGTCCGGCCAGTTGACCGGTCAACGGCATATATATATATATATTTTTTTAAAAAAAAACTTTTTAGGATTTTTTTTTTGGACTTGAAATTTAATTTTGGACTTGAATTTTTTGATTAAACTAAATTATTTATTTATTTTATTTATTATATACACACACACATATATATATATATATATTTAATACACCCCTTAACACATCTATTGCACCACCACTCACTCTCTAAAATTAGCAAACTCTTAACACATCTTAATAAACATTTTTAGGCCCCACTTTTATCACTTTTTGTCATATAACACACTTTAACAAATAATTTTGACTATCTCATTGTGGACGCCCTTAGTAGGTTTAAAATTTGCCTTATTGTATGTCAAAATGATGTGTAAAGTACAAAATAGCTGTACACTGTTCTTTTTATTAGATGGCATCTCTACTAGTTATATGCAAAATATTAGAGGAGTTGATCTGTTGTGATTTATAATTGTGATGTCCTTGTGGAAGGGAGAGGTTGGGGATGGGCAAGGGAGGGTCGTTGGGGCTGTAGGGTAGCAGAGATGGGTTGGGAAAAGGGTGGAAGAGTGCTGGGATGGACAAGGGAGGGTCATCGGAGCAGTGGGGTGGTAAGGATGGGCTAGGAAGTGGTAGGCAATAGTCAGAAGGAGTAATGGCAGCCACAAGTAGTGGTGCTGCTGGTGGGTGAGATATGGATAGAATTAAGGTTTGAGAGGCTTTGGAATAAAACTCCTGCCCCAGCTGCACCACATCAACTAAACTACGCAACATACTCATTACATAAAATACTTTTATACATTCAAATTTTAATTGACCTCATACTCATTACATAAAATACTTTTATACATTCAAATTTTAATTGACCTCAACCATGCATCAACAGAGCCGGTACCTTTCCCTGTAGCCGCACCTGGTCAACCTGTTCATTGTATTCAGAGTTCAGATCAACCTGCTCATTGGATTCAGAGTTCGAACCCCGCTGTCTGACATTCTACTCAATACCCAGAAAAACAAAACAAAACCACACAAAGCAAACAAACGAGTGCATCAATAGATCAGAAAGCCCTCTAACTTCATCACCTGGATTGTTCCAAACTACTCTAAAACTTGGTGGTATTACTCTCTCTCACTCTCTCTCTCTTCCCAAGCAAAGTCCATTGTGCTCAACATTTTGAGTACAAGTCAGCCATCAATCATCTAAACAAAGCCATAATTTTAACTGCAAAAAGTAAAACTAAAAAATGGAAAATCACCACACACACACACACAGAAAGAGAAAAAAAAGTTGCATATATGTGGGGGTGTGTGAAGAGGGTGTTTCATCACAGCATAAAAACTGAACAAACTAACAGCAGAGGCAAAGAGAATGTATAAGAAACAATTTTCTCTTTCTTTTTTCTCTTTTAAAAAGGACTGAATTAACTGTAAGCAATTCATTGAATTGAGGCCTTCTCAAAAAACATAACCCAAAACTGACAAGCACCCAGATTTTCCACACTATGTAATTTTCCCTCGGCAGCTTCTTGCGTCGCCTGGCCAAAATAAAAAACCTATTCCTATACTCTTCTATCAGAGACCTTGAACCTCAAAAGATTTTAGACAAGTCAACACCACATCTACACCTGATGGGACCATCTGAAACTTATTCCAATTTACTTCCACCAAACGGCCTACAGGAAAATAAGAACCTACCAAGCGCTGTGAGAGGTTTGGTACATTTAAGATTCAAATGTGGAGTCAGATGAGCTTGATCCAGATGAAGAGGCACCACCAACACTCCCTGTGTGCAGATTGGGCGGCATCAAAAACTCTGGCTGCATTACTTGGAAAATTTTAGAGGATGGCCTCAATTTGATGTACTGCAAAAAAGAAACGAGCACATGGTTACCTAACAAATTCAAGCGATGCCAAACAACATTGAAACTCACTAACTACAAAACAATGAATATGGGAGCCATCTTCTAACAGTGACCAGCTGAGTCTTGACTATCATTAATTTAAGGGTTAATTACACTTTACCTCCTCAACTATCACCGACAATCACCTCATCCCCCTTAATTTTTAAAACCGTACATGTAGACAACTCAACTATCAAAATTACTTCACTTTTCTCCCTCCAGGATGCGGCTTGATTACGAAATTTGCGATAAGAAAGGTTCAGAACTAATGACCCTCTACCTTTACGGGATTCTGTTGATTACAAAATTTGGGACAAGCAAGGTTCCAAAAATGTTTTAGTGAATCTCACTAGGATCCTAGTTGAGAATTCTAGTGACCCCTCTACCTTTGCAGGATTCTTTCCCTGTCGTATGGTTTTTGATAGTTGAGAGGTCTAAATGTACGGTCTTAAAAGTTGAGAGAGCTAAGATAATCTTCAGTGATAGTTGAGAGGGGTAAATTGTAAGAAGCCTATATTAATCAGATTCCTGTTAAAATGGAATGACTGATTGTGTTTTAAAGAGATGGCCACATCATCTACCTCCATGCAGAAAGAACTGATCTCTTCCTCGGTGAGACCTTCATCCTCTCCACCATTTTCCTCTTCCCACCCAAGTGAACGTAGAAAAGCAGCCTCTTCCTCCTCCGAATAAAGAATGGCGTTGGGGCTTGAATGGTCTGTTCCATTGTTAAGATTCTCCTGATGCCCATCATCAATGGATTCCTGAGCCCTCTCAAAGGAGGCATTGCCATTGCTGTTCACATCATTTGTCTTCTCAGTAGACAGGTCCCCAACAAAACTCTCCGATGAAGGAGAAACTGCATCTGATTCTGTTCCTTCCAACTTATCCAAGACAGACGGTGACACATCAGTGACCAGAGCAGGGGCAGCAGAAGAGGGGCTCGTCATAGATTTCTCCTCAATGGAGGTTGAAAAAATCATTCCTGCTTTGAGCTTGAGTTGTAGGTCTCTTCTCAAAATTACAGGGGCTGACTTGCGCTCAGCACTGGCAAGACTAGGGTTGTTGCTTGGGCCCCTCAAGGGAGCCGATCCAACAACAGAAGGAGCAACAGCAACTGGGCTGCTTGCTACTCTGCTGCTACCACTTGTAGGACTCAAGGTATCCTTTGCAGTGGGAGAGACACTGTTCCTTCCTCGAGCCGGTTTGAGCACATGAAGCTTTCCAACACTAGAGGTCCTTGAAACATCAGATTTCACAGGCCCACTACGAGGAGAGTGGTTAGCAAGGTGAGAAGATGAGGTTTGATGCTGCTGCTGCTGCCCAATTTTAGGTTTTGGTTTCTCTGAAGGATTGAGCACCTGAAACAAAAACTACACGATTATGCCATAATTGAGTGAATTTGACTAATATGAAAAATCAAAATTTAACAACAAAATATTGAACTCCACCTTAAGGATAAATTAAAAACATTGAAACATCCCGGTTTAAAATTGTTCCACTTCATGTCTACAACTAAAATAAATAAAATAAACAAGTTTAGAAAATGAAGTCAACAAAACAAAGCTTTATCCCAACTATTTGTGGTTGGCTATCATGAGTCCTGCTTCACCCAATTCATTTTTTGAGGGCCATCACTTTAGTTAAACAACATGCTACTATGTTTGTTCTTACTCAGTAAAACCACATAATACTGAGTTTTTTCTTGCAATCTCAATCCACATTAATTTTGGTCTTCTTATTCCCAACATTGTTGGTCTTCCTTACTGGTGTAGTTATTGATCTTTGTTGCACATTAGTCAATTTCCCCTCTTTTATCTCCAATATGTGCTGCTTCAACCATCTCACCGAATTGGTTCACTTCCACATTCATCTTTTCTCATTCTACCAGACATCCATTTCAATGTATGAAGACTACAAATAAAACAGTTCTTTTCCTCCTAACAGAACCAAGGGGATTCGTTCTGTCTAGTCTACCCTTTAACTTGATACCATGAATTATTTACTTAATACTGTGAATTATAAACTCACAATCAACCAAACAGAAGATTAAAATTGAGAATTATGTCTCCCTAAACCTACTTTTCTTTTTTGATCGGCAACAAAGAGTGAATACAAACCCTTTCCAAAATGATTTCAAAATGATCTTGCTTCCCTTCAAAAACTCTAGCATTCCTTTCTAGCCGCAAGACCAAAAGAACTGCACATACCACACTTCTCCAATGAGCTTGTGCCTTGTCATTAAAACCAAAACCTCTAAAATCAATGTATACAAATGCTCACAAGAGGATGGCATAACCCAATTAACCTCTGCCAGGTTGAATACTATCCACCAAAGAGATAAAGCTATAGGACAATGCAAGAAAAGCAGATCCATAGTCTCCCCTGCCAACCTACACATAGCACACCATTGTGGTTGCAAATAACAACTTGGCCGCCTTCTTTGAATCACATCATTAGTATTAAGCTTCTTGTGAGCCAATGTCCATGCAAACATTTTATCTTAATGGGCACATAAGCATTCCAAATCATCTTGCAATGAGAAAATAGTGGGACACTTGGATTATCAATAAGTTTCTCAAAATAAGACTTACAAAGTGAACAACCCAAATGAATGAAAAGACTACACCGTCTCACCAAAAGAATCATTAGACAAAGAAACATTCTCTCCCGAACCCTGAACTACTAATTGGGTAAGGGTAAATGAGAAAAAATAGGTCATAGAGCAACAAAACTAAAATTCAACAGCATTAACAGGGCACCTGCTTAAGGAAAATTTGAGGATAATCAATAAAAAAATGATTCAAACAACTACAAATGCACGGTATCCAAAGTTTTGCACACCACAATAAAAGGCTGAAAAACCATCATAGTAATGATGTAAATCCCAACATAATGTTGATTAACATTACATGATTATATGATAATTAATAATGTATGCAACTAGCTTCAAGACTCTTGATTTTGCATCATATCATTCAAAATAGTTTATTCAAGTGTTAATGAGAAACATTTACAATTGCTAAGCTTCCTAGATAAGAAGATCTGCATAAGTTCATCATGTATACACTTCAAACCCAGCAAAGGCTCAGCCAAAAATTTGAAAACGTTTGTGGACATCCCAACTGCAATTTTCCATTCCGAGGCCCAAGACTCCATTAAGATAACAAACATTGGGATAGTTTAAGTGTTGATGAAAAACATTTACAATTGTTAAGATTCCTAAATAAGCAGATCTCAAAAGTACATTGTGCATACTCTTCAAACCCAGCAAAGGCTCAAATAAAAATTTGGAATTGCTTAATGGATAATCTAACTGTAATTTTTTGTTCTGAAGCACTAAACTCCATTAAACAATGCACTATCACATCTTTTCTTACTACCTTATAAGTCATAACACAACCTTTTCCCATAAGCTTATTGTTGTAACTCAGTTATCATAGATGCATTATTTTTCATTTTGAAAGTCTCTTCAGCCATCCATCCATCCATCTTTAACAGTATCATATATACTACACTACCTTGGATATGTTTTTTGACAGCTCAACCTCATAAACAATTGCAATTGCATCCCCCCATGATACATCCCTCCAACTTGACAAGTCACTCACACTAGCACTTCAAAAGCCAAACCTCACAGCCTACCCCCACAACTGACCTAGATGAAAAAGATGGGAACCACCCATATGACTATATCATTTGCTATGTACTAACCAATGATATAGTATTTTTACATGAGATTATTACCACCCATCACATTACATCGTGTTTAATAACTTTGACCACATCAACAATGTCAAATCAATAAATTTAAGAATTAAAAAATTTTAAGCAATTATAAAATCAAGCAATTAAGAAAATAAAATGTAATGTAAACCAACTCAAGCCAAACATAGAATAGGTGCACACTTCACGAATCAGTTCTACATACAATTCTAAGTGCTTACCTTGATAACCAAGCAATTCAGAACATGCATCCAAGCACATTTGAGCCAATTTCCCCAGTTGTAAAATAAGCAAAATTTGTATAAAAAATAAAAGGAAAGAAAAACAAAATAGACAGAGGGAGGGGGAGGGGGAGGGGGAGATAACCAAGTGTGAATTGAAGATCTTACGAGATCTTTCCAATGAAACTAAGTGCGAGAATCTGAACCCCATTCGCATTCATGGAGAAAAGAAAAAAAAAAGTACATGTTTAAGTGATAGAAATGTGCGTCCCCCAAATATCCAAAGTGTATCCAGGTTTTTAAAAAAATAAATACTACTTGGAGGTGTGTCCGACATGTGTTGGGAATCATTGGACACGAACACAAACACACCACATTCTTAGATGAGTATGTGCTTCTTAGTTCATCACAAAATAAGCCTAAACAATTCCACACCAAAGCAAATCAATTTTAAGTAATTTCACCCATAAGTCATTTAACATGACAGAATATCTAAAAATTTTAAAAACTTTTGCATCTTTCCACCCAAAAAAGAAGTATATCCTATACTTAAGGGTGCTTGGATCATCAGTAACTAATTCATAACAAAATAAGCCTAAAAATTTCACATTAATGCAAGTCAAGTTTAAATCTTAAAGCCAAAGACTATCTATTAAGTGTTTCCATCACTAATTTAGATACGAACTTGCCAACAAGGACCTAATAGAAGAACCAAGAAAGCATAATTAGGACATCATCCTATGAGTATACACTTGTTGAAACATTTTGGGAATAGCACAATTTAAGCAAACTAACAGCTAAGCTAATACCAAAGAAGGGAGGCAGCACTCTTACCAATGGTTTAGGCATGGATGGTGTCATGGGAATTAATACCCTAGATTGTTTAAGAGCCAGCTCTTCCAGCCTCTGAGTTCCAGCAGATAACTATAATACATAAAAATAACAAGAAATTAAAACATATATATGTTCCTTCATGTGCTGCAAAAACTAGAGTGCAAAGAAGCTACCTGTGGACTGATAGTATGAGCACGAGAAGGGGCCTGGACCAAAGTTTCAGCCATATTGAGTCCAGTCATCATACTTGTAGCCAAGGAAGCTGAAGTTGGGGGAATGGTTTGTTGAATAGACCCAGCAGTGCCGTTGCTTCCAACTAAGACAGGCACCTCTGCCAGGGCTGAGGTCCACCTATCACCACCAATCACAGCCGAAGTACCTATTGGCAAGCTTTGGATAGCAGTGCTCAACCCAGGAGAAGAGACTCTTCCCATTTCAGGAGCTGCTTGTCTTTCTTCTGCCCCCAGAGATGGGAAGTCCCTTTCAAATGCAGCCTTGTGCACACTGCCAACAGCGCTGCCCCCAGCAAGAAGACCATTGCTGTTGGTGGTGTTGTTTTTGTTTGCACTGCTTGAGTCAGCTGTTACTTTTCTGGGCCAAGCTTCACCTCGTTTCCCAGTAATCATCGATTGTGATCGCCTCATATCCTTCTCAAACCTACTTGGAAAAATCTGCTCTAAAGTTTCATAACATTCACGGCGCCTATGGTCACCCAAAATGGACTTCTCTTTATCACGTGAGTCATACACATCCTTCTCCCAGTCCCTATCACGGTTACTTCTACCAAAACTAACATGAGACCGCAAATGAGAAGAACCATTACTACTTGAACTTCGACGAAAATAGGCGGAAGTAGTTCGATCTGCAACAACTGAACGCCCTATGCCATTATCATTTCTTGAAGGCTTTGATGCAACATGACCGTCTAAGACAACAAAACATTGCAACTTGTTAGGGTAATTATTCAAACCTGTATAGAAAAGTATATACTCAGAGACAGAAGTAAACAACGACAAAGTACATAAATGTTACCTGAGTGCAATAGAGATAAACCCATTTGGTGGGTTGTAGTGCCACCGCTTACGCTTACACTTCCACTGCCTTTCAACCATTCCGGTATTAATGCGGGTTCACTTCTTTCCATAATTAGTACCAAACATGATCAACTAAAGTAAGAAATATATCTATACCAACTTTTCTCTCCAGTATTATTGCCCAATAACCACCATCTCAGACAAAATTATCGTGTTTCTTCACCGTATCAGTCAAGTTTACCTAATTTCACTTTACTCTTAAACATCAAAGCTCACTTTGCGTGCCACCAAAAACAATTAAGTCGCTAGTGCTGTCAACAAAATTGTTCCAACTGCAATCCCTCAAAAACCCAATTCCCAATAAAAAAAATCTGAACTGCCCTGTACACTTTAACTAGGGTTTTTGTTCTCTCTGTACACTATATCTACTGTAAAATCAATCAATAACGACTTCAATCAATCAGAAGAAACAAACTTGAATGCCCTTTTGGTGCCAAAAAAACAATCTCAACAAGGGCTTCTAGAGGCTTCCATATTCAAGAACAAAATCTAAGAATACCCTCATCCCATCAATTATCTTCAATCAGAGACGTACAAAACAGAGCACTTCTGAAGAAAAATTCAAACCCATTACAGAAAACAGGGATAGAACCAAACCCTACAACTGAAAACCATCCCAAGGCGGCAATAAAATTGATACCCACAAACAAGTCGCAAAAACCTAGGGTTTGAACAGTGCAAAGTATATCAAAATTCACACAACAGCATATATAGAGAGACGATTGTAGAGAAAAAGACAAAACTGACTAACCATGAACCGGTGTATTACAATCAATAAAAGCAAGATCAAACTCGGGACAAAAATACAAACCCTAATGGGTCTGACTCGCGCCGCCTTGGTGTTGTGTGCGAATTTCTGGATAGAGAGAAAGTGAAGACTCTCTCAATTGCTTGAGTATGTATGTACTGTTTGTGTGTATGTCGCCGTGTATTGTTTGTTGTGAGTTGTGGATATAGAGAGAGAGTAGAGAGAGAAACACCGAGAAAGAATCCGCTTTGATTGCGCTGTGTAGAGAGATGAGGATTTTATCTGTGTGAGGGAGAACGGATTAGTGATGAATATATAGAGAGAGAGAGATACAGAAGAGATGAAGTTTGTTTCTCTCTTTGTTGTACGTGTGTTGTGTTGTGTTCTGTTGTGCTGTGTTTGGTGAAGGCTTTGCTTTGTGAAACAAAAAATATGTATTTAACCCTATTTTTCTTGTGTTTTGCTTTGAGGTACAACTAATACCATTCTCCATGTTTCTTTCTAGTTTTTTGAAATATTTTTTAAAAAACTATCCTTTCTTATTTTTCATATAAAAAAATTAATGCTTCTACACACCCTCCAATGGGGGTCGACCCCAGTGACGTGACGTGCTTTCATTGGCCAGTTTTTTTTTTTCTTTTTTTTTTCTTTCCTTCCAATCCCGCAGTGCCACGTGGCACTGGGGTCGGTGGGGGTGGGGTTTACTGGGGGTCCGACGCATTTCTGTAAAAAAATTTAATATTTTAAACAATTTTTTTAATTTTTAGACATATCTAATATAAATATACTTAAAAAGTGTAATTTTTGTAAAAAAAATATTTAAAAAATTCACTAAATACCAAAAATATAAATAAAAAATATGAAAATTCAATATAGTTTTCGTATTTTTGTATATTTCTTAATTAATTTTTTAAAATATTTTTTCACAAATAATTTTTCCTTTAGCCATGTTCATGTTTTTTACAATTTTGTAAATAATTTTTTATTTTCTCGAATTCCTTTGGCAACCATCTTCCGTCATCACCTCTCAACTCTCAATACTTAGGGGTCTTTTCGGAAGCAAAAAAAATAAACTTTTAACTTTTTTTAGTCACATCACATTTTTTATTTTTTACTCACAAAAGGACAAAATAGAATAAAAAAGTTTAAAAAATTAATTTTTTATCAACTTTCCAAAACACTACTTATTTTCAGAACAAGTTCAGTATCAATTCAAACTCATTTGGTATAAAAATAAATAAATTTATGGTTGTACTAGCAACTTGAGATGTGTTTGGGATTGATTTTTTATTAGTATTTTTTTATTTTAGTAATTTTTTAAGAAAATTATACTTTTAGATTCTACTCGACTAAACAAACTGTAAAAGTAAAAATATAAAATATAAAAATTTGGGAAAATAAGGTGTTTTTTTGTCTTTAATGGATTTTTTTTTTAAATAAATACTTTTTAATCCTTTTACAATAGATGGACTTTTTAAAAAAATATAAAAATGGCACAATTTTTTTTTAAAAAAAAAACATTAAAAAAAAAAGTGTGGCTTGAGTTTGATCCCTATCAAATAAATTCATTTGATACTAGTTCAAATTGCACTTCTTTATTTATTGAATAATACTATATATATCAATTAATGTTTTAATTAGTGTATCAATTGATGATGTAATATAATTTTTAAAAAATTTGATATTTATAATGTTATTAATGAGTTGGGTCAATAATATTATTATAACTAGTGTTGGTATACTAGTTAGTACATTAATTAGTGCATGTAGCACCATCAACTTAATATTTTAAGTGACACATCAATTTATAAAGAAAAATTATTTAAAAAATCTGTGTGTATAGCATTACTCCTTTTCAGTGAACAATTAGGCTTTATTTGGGAAGACAAAATAAGTCCACACTTTTTATCTTTTTATCTTTTTTGAGTCACATCAATCAATATCTCTTCTTTACTTTTCTACACATCTTTTTATAAAAAATCAAAAAATATACTTATTTAGAACATCCCAAACAACCATTTATTTCTTTTGCCCCCGGGGTCTTTTGTTCCAAAAAAAAAAAAAAAAAGAAATTAATGTTTTAAGAAAAGGGCACTAATAATAACAAACAAGCAAACAAAAAAAAAAAAAACCTTTGAAATGTCAAATTTTAATGAAGTCAAAAATTACACGTGTGATTAAGAAATTTAAAACATTTACTTTGTCATCAATATCTTATTCATTAAGATTGGAATACAAATGGGACGTTTTGCAAAGTGATGGTATTATTATCATTACTGGTTGTTAAGTTCTAATTTTGTTTTGCAACAGTTTTAATATTAATGAATAAATACATCTGAATATGGTCACGTGGCTCCAAAAATAATAATAATAATAATAATAATAATGGATAGTTAACAAATTATAAATATCTATAATATTAATAAAGGAAACCTATTAATTGGTGTCCTGAAACCATTGATAAGTGTATCTTCCACTTTAATATCAAATGCTGATTTTGTCATTAAAAAAAAAAAGAAACATTAGACAAATAAGGGGTATGAGACTTGAATTATAGACAAATAGTATAATAAAGAAAAATCTTTATCACTTAACTTAAACATAATATAAGTGATAAATATTTTATTTTATTTTTACTTACATATGTCAACAGCTAGTAACAATTAAAAACCACAATTCATAAGTACAATACCCTCTTCATAGGAAAACTTACATATTCACATGCGGTAATTCATTGACAACTATCAAAATTTAGCAGTGCAGATATAACTTATTACACTAATTAACTAAATAAATTTAAAATACACCAACAAGGACATAATAAATTGCGAGTGTTGATTCCTAATCACATAACCAATCAGGTAATTCAGCTGGAGAATACCGATAGAATAGATTGAGCCAATTACCTGCCAATAAGAAGATGAGAATACCACGGTGGCTCATCCATCTGGGGACACTCCAACGATTAAGTCAGTAAATCTTATCTCTCACAGATATCAAAACAGTGCTTAAACTCACAAAACATATCTTAGACTCACGACGGTGTCTCATTTTTATAACCAACAGTGACTTAATCCTAAAAGTCTCGCTCCATTGGACTCATGCTCATTGTTCATCTTGGGCTCTTTGTTAGATATGGATAAACTCTTTCATGAGCCTTATCCTTATCCAGACTGGGAGTCTCTTTTATTTTAGGACTCATGTCCCATATTTGAATACTTCGAGATTCCAGCATTACTGCATAACATCTCAGCAATATTGTAGTCACCTCGACAATATGACTCATTCACGTGGCACCTTAGCCGACATCTCAGGGTTATCTCGTGCACGTGACGTATTCGCAAAACACTTCCCCACACAAACTAATTTTGTTTCCAAAGAACCATTTAAGGCTTTCTAACTATTGAATATATACACATAATCTATATAAATTAAAAGTAAACAAACATTTTACAAATAAAAAATATATAATATAATTTTATATGGTAATTTATTTTACCTTTAATGGTAAATTCATTAGTATATTCAATTGCACATTCTTTATCAATCATATTGTATCAAAGCGGTGTACATATTAGTCAAGACATATCAATGCTTTCGGAAACATTGTACCGAGCATATTAATATGTATGAATTCAAAGAATTGAACAATTGTGAAATACACAACTATATATTTTGTTGCACAAACATAATATACAATATGAATTTTGATTGGCGTAATTTGGTCAAACATAATACTATTGTCAAGCCCTAGTTTGTCGACTATATTCAATTCCATTTTTTTTTCTAACTCAATTAACATGACAAAAAATGTAACCATTTCATTACTAAATTGTTTACATTCCGCTATTTTGTTATCCATTGGTCAAATATTATTATATAAACAAACAGCGACTAATTTTCTTATGAAGATAAGATTGTTTAAATGATTGGAAGAGACACAATAAAATTATTTATTTTATATTTGTTTTATGTATGAAATATGTTTTAAGCATATGTAAAAGCTTATGTGTATTTATATATGTGAGCCAAAGTGAAAATAGTATGGCTAAGTTCCCTTAAAGATAACCACCTAAATGGTCTGGGTGAGTGTCCAAAAGAAAAATTAAAAAATAAAAATTACATTCTAATTGTTTTTGTCTTTTATTGTAAGTTTACATAGGGCATAATTGTAATAAAAATTATTAAATGATGTGTGCAGATAGAAGAAACAATGTGTGCGCGTTTAGTAGCTTCAAATAGATGTAGATTTCATTTAGGATGAAATGGCTAAACTGCCCATTAAAAAGCACACATAATGCTTGTGTTTGCTTTGTAATGACTAGGGATGGCAATTTAAACTCGGTCCGATGGGGATTCGCTCCCTCGTCCCCGATAGGAGCAGTTTTTTCTCGAAAAATATCCCCAACGGGCCGGGGATGGTATTCAAAATTAAATCCCCGATCAATTTCGGGCCGGGGACGGGGATAGCTTTCATAGACCTGTCCCGGCACTGGCCCCGTTTCTCTCCCGAAGTAAAATTACATTTGTACCCCTCTCTATATGTATAATATGTGTGTCTCAATCACTGTATAGGTTCACACACACACGTACAAAACAAAACACATCGCGCCTCTCTCTCTCTCTCTGCTCTTCCTCACCGCCGCTCGCTCGCTCTCCCTCGCCACCGCCGTCGCTCCTCACTCACCGCCGCCGTCGCTCTTCCATCTACTCTCTCTCTTATATGTCACCGATTTCAGTCCCTCACTCACTCGATCTTTCACAGCGTCGATTTGCACAGCGTCGACCTGCACAATGTCGATCTTCCTCCACCGATCTCCTCCGCTGCCCTCTTCCGCCCTTCTGTATTTTTCTACTCTACCGATCTACTCCGCCTCCCTCCTCAACTCAGATCTGCAAGATCTGTTTTTTTTTTTTATCTGTTATTTTTTGTTTTTGATCTATAATGATGATCTGTTATTTATTTATTTTTTGATCTGTTGTTTGATGATGATCTATGTTATGTTGTTGATAATGATCTCTGTTGATGATTTATGTTGTTGATAATTATCTCTCCCTCTCTGTTTGGTTTTTTTTTTGTCTAGGGAATTTCAGAGTCGGGGAAACCCGATCCTCGTTAGGGGACGGGAACGGGGATGGCAATAAGTTCCTCGTCGGCGATCGGGGCCAAGGACGGGGAGAATTTTACCATCGAGGATCAAGGACGGGGAGGGCGATCCCCGGCCCCGTCCCGTCCCGCCCCGCCCCGTTGCCATTCCTAGTGATGACTCATGCGGAAGAACAATCTTGTTAAAATTTAAGGCTATGTTTGGTTTAGATTTCAAAACATAGTTCTACCACTGATTTGATTGTGGTATTTGATTGCAACTTTCCACTCATAATTCTACACCCATTTCTCAAAACTCATTTCAAACTATAA